AACCTTGAAGAACTCGCTGGAACCATCGGCAGTGGCAGCATCCTCAACCTTGGACATGTATGCGAGGACGGGACCCCAGTGAGCACCACCAAGACCCTCCTCCTTGCAGTCACGGGTGTTGTGCTGGTGCATCTCGATAGTGACTGTGTCACCAGCCTCAAAGTCGCACTTTCCCTCAGCGGGAGCAGGGCTAACGTTGCCTAGATTGGTGTCAGCACAGATCCAAAGCGGGAACTTGAGGGGTACTAACATTGCAGCGCCGTGCTTGTGTAGTCCTCGACGGGGCTGTTGGAAGGTGGCAGCCTGGCACAGGTGCTCTCAAGATCCTTTCCGTTCTTCCAGAGTTGTTGGAAAGTGGCGTGGGCGTTGGCCAATGCCAGGATGGCGGGGAGGACAGCTACGGACTTCATAGTGTATATATTGATGCGAGTAGTGATGTTTGGAATGAGTGACGAGTCAAAAGTTGACAAAAGAGTGACTGAAAAGGCAAAAGAACGAATGAATGACGAAGTCCTGTAGTGAAAGAATGTCCAGCGCAGCTGCGTTACTGTTCCAAGTCTGGCGAGCTCGAAGACTTATATCCTCCACCGCAGGAGATGAGTCCAGCCGTGAAGCCGAGGAATATGTGGCACGCTGCATAGCTAGCCGTTTCGTTTACCACCGGTCCAATCTCGAACCTGACGCCGGGGCGCTATGTGTCTGCAGCCACACTCGGATAGATGAACGAAGGATGGATACCTAGGCCAAGAACAGAACTCTTGGGAACCAGAACCAGGTCCATGGGTCAAACGACGACTGACAGGTTTGACATGTGGAGCGCTGATTGGTGGAGATGCACTGTGCATGGAGTTCGAGCCGAGTAGAGCTTAGTGCTGTTTTGACATTGGACGAGGCGAGAATCCTTCACATTGCAGGGGCTCTGAGGCATCCTCTGTAAAGTGTTGGCGCCACTGTCCCGCGCAGCAGACTGCACATTGGTGTGGTTGTGAACGCATTGCAACTGCTCATTGCGATGGCTGGAGCGGAGCTTGCAGGAGATGGATCGCAACAACTTCTCGATCGCACTTGCTTTGGCACCTGCCTTGCTTCGGAGATGATGGTGCGATAGGGTATGGCTGCAGAATCTAATGATGGCATCCTCTGCAATCTCAAGAATCTGCAGCTTAAGATACAATGCGGGTCTGCCAACCCAGGGTCGAGGTATCAACAACGGCTCGAGTGTGGATATGAACATGTTCGTCGGAGAATGACAAGACGGCTAAATAGCCACAGGATAATACCCTGAGTCGACTTTTACGCCGTATGCGGATGGAGTCATGGAGAAATGCGCGCTCATGCTCACGTGCTTTGCGCGCGGCACGTTGAAACGTTGGGGTGGGGCGAGACGAAACACCAACTGCATGATCGCTGCTGGGGTCGCAAGTCGACGCCGTGAAGGATCGCGGTAAAGTGACCAAGTCTGAAGGATGAAATATCCAACGTTGAGGAGATGAAGGCGCGTATGTAAAGGCGGTGTTGGATCGTGGTTGCCAGGAAAGAGGCCGACAGGCTGGTACGCACCTAAGGATGGTGATGATGTCATCGCCAGCGCGCCGCATCGGCCAAAACTCACAATGCAACTCGTTCTTCGCCGTCTCATATCACAAAAAATTTGTCGCATAATACTCGCAGCCAAGGATCAAGCCTACAACAAGAGTTGGTCTCGGTTCCAACAGATGATCAGCATGGTCATTTGTTCCCAGTAGCAACGCTCCGCGAGACCTTCAATCAGCGACTATGGTTATCAACGTATTCGCAAGACGTTGCCTGTTCGTTCACTCAGAGCTTGAGCGTGTCTAGCTCATACTCTCAAACTCATCACTATCTCCCACATCTAGGATGAGATACGGGCTTGTGCACACAGCCGCCAAAGGCGTTATCCAAGGATGACAAGGTCTACCACAGCGACCCTGCTGGGGCATGCTCCTTGTAATGCTAAATAAATCTGTAGTCATATTGAATTCTTTTTCGCGATGCAGCAGCTTGATTTTAGCCTACAGAGGTTGGAGCCCTTAGCCGAAGATGCTGTGGCAGCGCTCTTACACCGGTGACAGAGGAATCAGGGGTTTCCCAATCTGGAAGACAAACGCAGTAGCGTTGCTATGATCACCAACTCAACCTTGGAACTCAGCGCCCACAAAGTTTTCTGGAAATCTCAGCGACGCGACCTCTTTCTCATCCCTCCCATTGTTTAATGGGCGCGACACACACACACCCTCCAATGACCCAAACACTCGGCATAGTCCTCGACCCGGACGCGATGGCGCGCGAGCTCCCCCAAACAGAGCGTGAGACTGACGCAGAATTCGGAAGACTTCTCGAAGAAGAAAGGCAGGCCATTGCCGACCACCAGCTCGCTTTGACCCAGAATTCGTGCTCAGCTCGACCTACGCTACGAACCTGTCCAACGATCGCTCTCTCGGTACCAATGAGCAGTGGGCTCGTGCAAAGGAGCTCTATGCCGAAATACACGCATACGAAATGGGTTCGCAAACGTCAAACGAGCCCGATGAGACAAGCGATACCGAAGAAGAAGGAGCTTACTACGACTCAGAACCATACCCGGAAGAGCCCCTCACTCTTTGCGAGGCGTGTCTCGACAAAATACCGACCATAGACACTCTGACGCTCGAATGCAAGCCTGTGGCTCATAGCTATTGTCGAATCTGTCTTCATAACTTCTTCATCAGGGCCCTCGAAGACGTCTCGATCTTTCCTCCTAAATGCTGCAATATTCCAATCCCACTGGACGTATGTCGTACCATGCTTCCGCGAGGATACGTCAAGAAGTTCGACCTCAAGGTGGAGGAGCTCGCGACACCCAATCCGACATATTGCGCAAACATCGATTGCACCGCTTTCATTCGGATCAAAGATATCAGCGCCGATGTAGGCACCTGCATCGACTGCAACGAGACGACCTGCGTGCAGTGCAAACACCGCGCACATGACGGACTGTGTCCGAGCGACCCAGATGTGCAACTCCTCATGGATGCAGCGAAGCGGGCAAAGTGGCAGCAATGCGCCAAATGTAGGAACATGGTGGAGCTTTCCCAGGGTTGCTTCCATATGTACTGCCGCTGCGGTCATGAGTTTTGCTACCTTTGCGGCGTGCCCTGGAAAACATGCAGATGCCCACAGTGGGATGAGGAGTTCCTGACTCGCCCTGATCCAGTCGGCCAGCCAGCCTCCGCTCCAGAACCAGAGCCCGCTGAGCATTTGCACGTTTGGCAACGTGTGACTGGGGGGAACTGTGAGGATTGCAGCGCCGACTGGCTACGATTCGTCATGCACTGCGGCGGGTGCGGTGTTACTAGTTGCTGGCGGTGCATCGGCGATCTCCATTAGAGGCGTTCGATGCCTCAGAACAGGCTGAAGGATACTGTTTCCAAACATATGAAGAGAAAGATCCGGGGACCTGGCCAGGAGATGATGTGGGCGCAGGGCATGTGTCGCAAGCAGGTGTCAAGACCTGGAATCTGCACTCAAGATCGACGAACGATACTAAACAGACCGCGAAACTAGCTGTGCATGTCGCATTAGCTTTTCAACCCTTATCAGCAATTTTTGTACCCTTCTGAGTTCGGTAGGATGTACCCGAGGACTGCTGACGATGTGGCGGTAGAAGCCTTGAGCCTGGCCCATAAGGTTTCTTTTGCCAAACAACATGTCACTCAATGACTCGTGCCATGTGCTGCATTATCGATGAACGGCCTATAGCGCGTCACTTATAAGTTCTTCTTTGCCGTATTCCCATCTTGAGAGCAATGTGGTAGTCGCGATGTGGGTACTGACAGACAGCGTGGTATGGTTGTGATCCGACGGGTAGGAAAGACACGCATCCGACATCTAGCTGCATAGCTCCCTTGTGTCGCCACAACACCGCCAGTAACGACTGTCAGCCCTCAGTTGGAATTACTCTGGAGTAGAAGTGGTCTTGAGCGATCGGCGCCAGGCCTCTTTTTAGCCGGATGCCATGCCCAAGTGTGCGGGAGGTGTCAGCGCTAACCAGTGCTTATCCCGACGCCTCAACACCACTTTGCCAATGACCTCAGCTTCCACAGCGCAGCCTTCTCTTCATCATCTCCACACAGTCAGGAGAACATGCAGTCGCCTGCTTCGTCTAAGCCACTATTGCGAACGGTTCTACGCGATCTTGGGAGCTTAGCATGTCTCTGGGCTACCTACGCACACGGCACTCACGGCAGCAAAATACGAACCATCACAACAACAAAAGATTAGGCTATGAGCCCCGCATTTCAAGGTATCGAAATATGGTAGCTGATTCAGAATAAGGCTACACAGATACCACATGTGGTCCCACATTCCTCGAAGCTGACTCGCAAACAAGTATGGCAATGCCACCATCACACTGGATACGTTAATGATGTACAATCGTGTCGCTTGGCATACTCCGGCACGTACTTGCATATCCTCGGGAAAACCTTAAACGCGAAAACGGCGACGGCATGTATGCCGCGGATGCTGCGTCTGCAGATCTTTTCGCAACGTCGATGATGCCGAACATTGTGTGGCTTAGTTCATCTCCTTCTCCCGCCTCGGTGCCCGAACGACGCCAAGGGGAACACGGGTTGGGCTCAAAAGTAACGCTGAGCTCTCATGATCTACTCGCTATACTGCTTGTCTGATCCACAAATGGAAGCCTTACAGCGCATTGCTTCTTGTGCCTCGCCTCGCCTCGGGTGTCTCGACCATATTCAGATTCACGGCCCATACTTTTTCCCGCCACATAGCTCGCTTCATCGTATTTTCAAGCCCCACGGCCAAACATAGAACGTTGGGTATTTGGCATACTGTCATAGAATCCCATATAACATGGCCTTCAGCATGCCTTCAGATGCAGTGTCTCGCTTCTCAACACAGTCGTTCCTTCTTTGCGCAGTCAAGCCTGTTGTGGTCGCTCGTGAACAGTCATACGGCCAACTTTTGTTGCTACAATCATGGTAGCCTACGCTCCTTACTTCGCCGCTACGGCTTCATTGTCGTCTGTCCTCCACGCAGTCACCCCTTCTGAGTTCAGCAACGCGCCCATCTGCCAGGTCGTCACAGCTACAGTCACTGAATACGCCACAGCACGACCCACGACCAACTCTCATGGGCATGGTGGGCCATACTACAATCCCTACAACGATGTGCCTCTCCCTTTCGAGTGGCCGGGTAAACCATCACATGGAGAAGCGTACGCTCCTCCTCAGCCTTCGACACCCTACGAATACGGCGGGCCCGCCAAACATGATTACAACGAACCGTGCTGGGTTCCCAAAGGAACCGACCATCTGAAGAGCTCACTTTCAAATGTCGAACAGTGTGGTAACTCACAATGGGGTTTGATCGACTCTCCCCATCTCCCGGCAAATGGTCTCCCAGGCAGCAATTCCGATGGCGCATATACATCTGAACCAACGAGGCTTCCATCAACACATTCTCTCCACCCTACAGTATCTGGTTATTCATACAGTTATGCAAACGCCACAGGGTCTACCACTTTCGGACCGACTGCTACCGGGACGCTCGAGCCTATCGCTTCTGCGGCCTCCAAACCAAAGGCTGATCTTCTTTGTCCGTCCATGCCCGACACTGGCGTGACAAGAACATACGATCTTCACGTGGCTTATCAGACGATCGCACCAGATGGTGTTACCAGAAACGGACTCACGGTCAATGGTCAATTCCCCGGTCCTCTAATCGAAGCCAACTGGTATGAATTGTTTTACAACATTGTAATGCTTCAACTGACCGCATCAGGGGTGATTGGATCCTATGGAGAGTTACGAATGATTTGACTGATGAGGGTACTACCCTTCATGCCCACGGCCTTTTCCAGACAGAAAGTACCTGGTATGACGGTGTACCTGCGGTCAGTCAATGCCCGATCACTCCAAATGGCGGTTACTATGAGATGCTTTTCCGGGCCGACCGCTACGGGACGTCTTGGTATCACAGTAAGTTCTTCAGTACTACACTGAGATGCGCGAAAGCTAATTTCCTTAGGCCATTACAGTGCCCAATACTCCGGCGGCGCTCACGGCCCCATGGTCATACATGGGCCGAAACACGAGGATTACGACATCGACATCGGCCCCATCATTCTCGAGGATTGGTTCCATGCTGACTACTATACCCTTGTTGAAGGCACTATGAACGGCCAATTCCCGCCCTCCAACAACAATCTCATCAATGGAAGAATGAATTACCCATGTGCCAATACGACCTTGCCTTGCACGCCTAATGCAGGTATCTCTAAGTTTAAATTCCAGTCTGGAAAGAAGCATCTACTACGCCTCATCAACACAGGCGCTGAAGGCAACCAGAAGTTCAGCATCGATGGGCACAAACTGAAAGTCATCGCCGTAGACTACATCCCGGTCGAGCCGTACACAACCAACGTTGTCACGCTTGCTGTCGGTCAGCGCACTGATGTTGTAGTCGAAGCCATCGGCAAGCCTAGCGATACCTTCTGGATGCGCTCTCAGCTTGCTCAAGGCTTTCGCTGCACACTCACCGACGGCATCTCACCCAACGCTCTTGCGGCAGTATACTACGAGAATGCCAGTACCGACGCTATCCCCAAGTCTACCTCTGATGTCACGAAGGAACAACTTGAGCAATGCAAGAACGACCCCATCACCCAGGGTATCCCGCTGTGTAATGTCCCATTGGAAGAGCCTGACCATGTCGAACGTGTGGACTTTGACTTCCGCTCCAATGGCACCAACTTCATCTGGTATCTCAATAACAGCACCTACCACGGCAACTACAACAAGCCAACGCTTCTAAAAGCAAAGCGTAACGAGTCGGACTTCAACCCTGAATGGAACGTGTACCAATTCCCCGGTGCGAAGCATGTCCGCATCCACATGGTGAACCACGGTCTCATTGGCGGCCATCCCATGCATCTTCACGGCCACGACTACCACATCCTGGCTGAAGGCTTCGGCGAGTGGGACGGCATTGTGACAAATCCGGAGAACACGCTGCGCCGCGATGTTCACCAGATGCAGAATGCACGAAACACCACCGGCACTGTTGAGCCTTCGTACTTGGTACTGCAATTCGTACAAGATAATCCAGGCGCCTGGCCACTGCATTGCCACCTCGCTTGGCACGTCAGCGGAGGGCTTTTCATGCAGATCTTGGAGAGACCAGAGGATATCCAGAAGCAGGCATTTGGGGATGAGCAGTTTCAACTTTGCGATGATTGGGATGCTTATACTTCTGAAGTGGTCCTGAATCAGATCGATTCAGGGTTGTAAGTAAACTTTCATGTATATAGGGCCCTAGGTGCGAGCATAGTACATACTCATGACTTTCCCCAATGGTTTGTATCACGTGATTTTACACCTCGCAGTTTGATGAATGCCGCGTGATAGGGTCTTCGTTGCCTAGCTGGTAGGGTGGTTCGCATCTCTTTCGCATTTTGTGCAGGTCAAGTATCTCGACAGGATGCATTCGTGGGCCTGGGCAGTCACCGGAGACGACGCGTTCAAAGGCGGCCCAGCGTCCCTTGTTCCCAGAAATTCGATATGCTGAACTCCACAATATCGCCGAAGACACAATCCTGCATCCCACCGGGCTTCTCGAGAATATCCCATTTTTCCTCTCTTGTCGTTAATTTCCGAGGATAAATCTGCAGTAGCAACGGGCTATAGGCGGCAGGAGAGATGAGCTCGGGATATGCGCGCGGGAAGATTTGGTCATGACGTCATGGCTCCGCGAACCCACGGCAGCCCATTCATAAAAGTAAATTAAAGACACCGACTGTTAGCAGAACCTCCGTGCTCACGACATCTACCCTTCATCCCAGTCTGCTATTACTGGCCAATGACAATGAGCGCAGCTCCGCAGCATCTCAAAGTCCTCCTGACAGGTGGTGCCAGGGGTATCGGGCGCGGGCTGTTCAGACAGCTGCTGACTTCTGGACACGATGTGGTCATTCTGGATTCCAATAAAGAGGAGCTGGAGCATGTCCGGACGCGAGCTGAAGAATGGGCAAACGGGCGAAAGCAAAGCTGGTCTGCGCTTGAGTGTGACCTCAGCAAGCGAACCGAGTTGAAGACCGCTGTCGAGGACGTCAAACGGAAATTTGATGGCAAGCTCGACGTTTTGATCAACAATGCTTTCCCGACAGACCTATCAATATCGGAGGATCGTAGCATGGAAGCCGAAGGAGAAGACATAGAGAAAGAGTGGGATTTGAAGGTTGCAATCGGTCTCACTGCACCGTTCATCCTCAGCCGGCTATGCGTTCCGCTTCTCGCTGCTGGGAATTCTACTCCAAGCTCACCTGGTACAATCATCAACATGTCATCAACGCGCGCATACCAATCAGAAAATGACCACGAAGCATACTCATCTGTCAAGGCCGGACTGTTGGGGTTGACCCAGTCGATGTCAGTATCGCTAGGCCATCGTCACAAGATCAGGGTCAACGCGATCATCCCTGGATGGATTCACGTCGCCAACGAAAGTAAAGCTGGAGATGAAGGTCAAACCAAGTGGGAAGAGGGTCTTTCAAAGGCCGACGTCGACTGGCATCCTGCTGGCAGAGTAGGTAAAGTGGAGGATATTGCGAAGGCGGTGGAGTACCTCATTGGCAACGATTTTGTCACGGGCCAGGAGGTGGTTGTAGACGGCGGTGTCGGAAGAAAGATGGTTTACCCTGAGTAGGCACATGAGACCGTATCATGACCGACCTTTTCGTCATCCCGGCATGGCGCGCCGCGCGTGCAGTTTGCCCGTTACTGTAACAACCCTGTATTTCCAGCCGTCCACAGCCGGGCGGTGATACCCCACGTACAGCACCGCTGTCGAACAACGAAGCTTCTTTGAGCGGAAACAAGCACACTGCTCTTAGATAGTCTCAGTGGCGCAGGATAGGCAAGCGCATCGAATAGCAGATTACATTCCTGTATTCAAGACCGTTGGGTATTGTAATCTAGCAATACAGTATTACCGCGAGGAAAGGTATTACAAAGCTTGTTGAGGGTGTGCAAGGAGCGACGCGCTGTCACAGTATATTAAAGCTGAGAACACATTGCATGGCCTTTAGCCAAATCCAACAGCCGCTCATGATAGTGCTACTAGCTCTACTCCAGTAACTTTGAGTCTCTTCGTTTGATCTTATCCGGTTCCATGACGTCTTCGACCTCTTCCTCAACACAAACCCCATCCACATCCTCGCCCCACAAACGTAGCACAGCGTCCTTCCTCCAGTCGCACTTTCTCCGGGTAATTGCTTGCCTTGTCATCTTATGTACTTCGTCGCATGCCGCCATCGCCTTCTTCAGTCCTTCTTTGCCTCTTCCATTGAGCCAAATTTCGAATTCAGCAATGTTGGGGATCTGTTTCTTGAACCTTCGGTGGCAGAGATCTTTAGCGGTATACTTAATTAAAGGATTTGTGGGAGGGAAGCGGCGTATCAACATCTCGAGCTCGCTAATGCTGAGAAGTCGAGATGATACGAGCGCGCAAAGGGCGCCTAGGAGAGGTGCAGAATGGGTGTAGTGGATGCCGAGAACTAAATACGCTTGGTATGTTAGAACATCGTTACGAAAATTACCGGATACAAGGTCAACGCGATCAAGGCCAAGAAGCTTGGATGTGGTGAACACGTCAAGCAAGCGTTCAATACTTCTTTCATCGGCGTGAGCATGCATGCGAAATTGCGTGATTTGGGGCGTGATTTGAACGACATCATTGGCCTTCTGGCATGAAGCTATCAACGCACGAAGAGCTACGTCTTTCCGGATGACGATACCATGAGCAATGACATCCCCGGTTGTGGCGCTTGGGAGGATGCGAGGCTGTCTGAAGAGACGATCGGGCTACGGCGCGGAGCGAAGATGGCGGTTCTATCGATTGCTGAGACGCGGCAACTTTAAAAAGGGTTCCTATATCCTATTTAGGTGCATGACTTGGGGCTGGTGAGGGCTCAGTCCATGCGGTCGTCAGCGTCCGTATGCGACTGTCGGCGAGCGACCAGACGCCATTCTGATGACTGACGTGTCGGATGCGCTGAGACGACGCGAAGTACTTGGAAGTATAAACTAGGATAGATAATCTGGGCCTTATGCACGTAGTCGCGTCGGCGAGGGGCCGTTGGGACTATGACGGCGTTCCTGATGGTGGAGAGCAAAAGAGTGTTGCTCAGGACTCGCGTCATCTGGAGTAAGTTCGGCTGGCGCTACTGTGCCGAGAGGGCACGCGTCCGACACGCGCGACAACTCTTTCACTTCAACACTCTCTCGCGAATCCCAGTCGTCATTGAAAAGTCAGTCGTTCATCGTGTGCAAATACTCATTGTTTTCATATGCGTTCCACAAGAGTCTTCTGCCGTCTGATTGAAGATGACGCTTTACTGCGAGCCGCACGGTGCCACAATACACCTACTCCAGATCAGATAACGAGTCCTTTAGATCATTGACCAGTCGCAATCCAGAAAGAGTTATAGCGTTTCAGGCACACGGTTCAACAGCCGCGATGGCCTTCTCTAAATGCGTAAGAAAGCTGCGATGAGACGCTACATCAGCATAACCAGAGAGAGCCAGGAGTATGAAAACGGGCACGAGTAGTCCGATGAGGGCGATATTCATGATCTTCTAGGGCCCCGATTAGGACCACCCCACATTGCTCTTTCCTCATTCAATCCGGCTTCCTCGCGTTGTGCGACCGTTCTGCGCTCGAGTCCCTGCCTACTTAGGTAGTCACGTGCACTGGGTCCCGTCCGTTTGCATGTAAATAAACCGCGCCTCGAGCTCGCTGCCTAAAAGTACTGGACTCTGCCCCAAATCTACTCCTTCTTAAGAACAAGTCTTCTCTCTTCTCCCACCAACAAACGCGGTTCCACGTCAAATCGCTCGGTGTGCGCTGCATCATCATCGTATTTGCGATGGCGACCACGGACATTGCAAGCAGTCACTTAGCTGCAGAACTATCGTACGTTTCAATCACCATCAAAATAACGCCATGTGCTAACCCCAGGTCTAGTGAGCCATCTCCAGCTGTCCAAGGCCAATCCAAGTCCAAGTCTGCACGTTCTCGTCGCAACCGGGCTGCTAAGAAGGCGGCACTCCTCAAGAACGAGAACAACATCGCTTCCTCTACTGAGCAGGCTGGTTCTCCCGAGTCTGCTGATACTACCAAGAACGCCGTACCGGACCAAGGTGAAGACTTGACCGTTGAGACCGTTAGCATCGCCGACACTGACGCCTCTGCGACCGCCTCTTTGCCCAAAGAGCCACTTACTACCAAGACCAACCTTCAACCCGCTACTAATCTCGGATCCGACCCCAAGCCGACCCCGCCGTCATTCTCTCCCGTCTCCGAGGTTGCCGATGTCCCGCCCCAGCCAAAGACTGCAGTAAAGCAGTCAGCCCTATCGCCGTCTACACCCGTCATAGATCAGCCTATCGACAACCTGCTCGAGATGATACGAGTGCAGCGTCAAGCTCTTCTCCAAGGTCCTCGCGTCGTCATTCATATTGGAGATACATCCGTCGAAGGCATCTCCAAGCGCGCAGCAATGGCTGCTTCTACCGTTCTCAGCAAACACTTTACAGCTAATCCCCAGTCGCATGAGTATGTATTCTCACGCGGCCAGATACACCCTGGTGCAGTCCGCCTTCTGCTTATCGGCTGGATGCAGGAGACGTGCAACGAGTTCGAGGCCTACGCTGTCCCGGCTCAGAAGACCTTTGGTGAAGACGTTGCTCTCCTACGCGCTGCTCGCCTGTTAGGTATGGAGCGCTACTGCAGCCATATCCACGCCGGCTATGTCGAGTACCTCAAGACCCAGCTTCCGAGCTACGAAGAGATCATTGCCGTCGAACAGAACGCCACGTCTGACAAAGACCCACTCTGGACCGCGATGGTCAACCACCTTTGCCACGACCGCTACAAACGCCTTATACCCGACCCTGAAGACTTCGCGGCGTTCTTGGAGAAACACACTCGGTTAAGGAAAGCTATGGAGTCCGCTGATATATTCTTTGCTGGGATGGCAAAGAGGCAGGTTGAGGGCCGGGAGCAAGAGCGAGAGAAAGAGCGCCGTCAGCGTTGGGAGCATAACCAGGCTGAGAAGCATGCGCGCATTGCTAAAGAGCGACTTGCTGCTGAGTCGCTGAGGAAGAAGATGGACGAGAAGGGTTCCGGTCTGATGACCGTGACCGCGGAGGAGGCGGAGCTGCTTCGAGGGCGCACTCGCACCCGCTAGAAGACCGCTGAACGCAGCCTCTGCCTTCACCTCGGATTTACAGACACCATCTTTTCACCGGCTGTACAATGGCGCATAAAAGAGACTAACAGCATCTTCCTAGCCGACCAGGACATGTAAGCGGGGAAGAAAAGCCTGCGTAAGCACTCAGGTGTTTAAGCGCGTTCCTTCTTCCTGCTCTTCCGCAGGGTATCAATTACCGGGCACGTAGAAGTCAACATAAAGTGACTTTGGAATACATAGTAGATACAGATGTGTATTAATCCAATCCAATCGCTAAACCCCTATGTTTCTACTGATACATCGAATGCCTCTATTCGGGTGTCGTGCGGCTGTGTCTACCATCCCAACCCATCATTCTCTCGTCCTCTCAGTACTCATCGGCCCAATCGCCCAGTTCCTCGTTCCAATCATCACTGCCTTCTTCGCTCTTCTCGTATCCCTCCCACCAGCTCGCTACAGTCACGGGCGGCTCACACTCTTTGCACCTAGCCTTGATGTATATCGCACTGTCCTTGCTGACCAGCCCAGCATGGTGTCCATGTGGTACGACATCGAGCTTGTTGGTGCAGTCGTCCTCTGCGCAGATGATCGTGTGAACGTCCATTGGAGAAGATGAGCGTGAATGAGGTGATACGGCGCCGATCTCACCCGCAGTTCTGATGCCATGTTGGGGGTGGCGACGAACGACCTCGGGGCTATTTGGTGGGTAAGACATGGCGTTGTTAACTCTCGAAATGCTTGTATCGCTTGGAGAAGCTGGCTGGTAGTGTTGTGATAAGGGAAGACAAGATCTCGGGAACGGAGGTATTTATGACGCTGTTGATTGCGTGGTGAAGACAATTGTGATTGTGTGGAGGAGGAGAGCAAGCCTGGAGGGGGCTTTGTGGTGAGTGAAGTAAGTTATGGTACAGTCATAGCGTTATACATCCCTCATGACCCTGTTGCAATATCATTCACAAAGTGTGAATGTCACTGCTATTCATGGCATTCCTTAGCCCAGCCTCATTCGTCTTCCCACCATCCATCTTCCAACAAGTCTCTCGCACTCGGTCTATCCCTCCAGTCCATCTTCATTATCCTACGGACGAACTCGTTATCCTTCCTTGACAGCTCTGCCTCTGAGATGACCTTGAACATTCCCTGCTGCGCTGGTAGATTGTTTCTCTTCAAAGACGCTAGGGTCTTAGTAATCTCTTCATCAGCTATCTCGACGGTTTTGTCTGGAAACGGCCCGAACCAGTACAACTGTCGCAGAAGAACATGCAAGGGGAGATTTTCCCTGTCCTCCTCCGCTTTTTTGCCCTGGGGAACGCATAGGTTGAAGTGAGAGCGGTAGTGCATGTGCACAAACTAATCACGGGAGTCGTCAGCCCAGCAACGTTGGATTTATTCGAGATGAGACCGAAACGTATCATATGGAGTGTCTCACCAGCAGTCCAAATGCCCAAATATCTGCAGCTGTATTCCACGGTAGTTGCAGAATGATTTCAGGGCTTACCCATGTTGTTGCGCCACACGGAGTTCCAGAAGTAGGAGCTTCACTGGTGACATGAGAGCAATTCCCCATGTCGCCAAGTTTGACCTCGCTGAACCGATTGTCACCTTCCTGCATGTTGACGTAGACGTTATCCGGTTTGAGATCTTCGAGTATAATCAGCCCCAATATTTGGTTACTAGTGGCAGACAATGAATACCCGCGTGTACACAGCCGTCATCATGAAGGCTTCGTAGGGCCTCTAGGACGCTGCGCGAAACGTGCTTCAATTCTTTCCGATCCAAGGCCTTTTCCGCGGACGCCTCTGAAATGGTGGTGTCAAGATACTCCAAAGCGATTGTGACGGGGGAATCTGGGCCCTGGATCTCTTCGATCATTGGTCTAATGTAGGGGCTGCGATGTTGAAATTTCTTGAGAACGTTTCGTTCGTTCGCAACCCCATGGTGACCCTGCTGGGTCTTGATCACCGCCAGCTTTTGCGCTTGGTTTCTGGCGGCCATTAGAGGTTTACATGTTTCTGTTGTCAACATAACACAGACTTAGCGAGCCAGACAGCTTCTTTGAGTTCTTGAGTGATTGTATACGTCCCGATGCTACCCTTGAGAACTTGGCCGACTCGGAAAAGAGACGACATGGTGTATTCGGCGCGAGAACCCTTGGTTAGCGGAGCTAGTCTATAAATACGTACAGCTTTATCGTCTCATCTCGGGTGGTGTGTTCGCAGATGAAGAAGACATGGCACAAAAGATTCTGTGCGGCGCAGTCCTTGGACTCTCGCCGTCTTGTCGATCGCCAAGGCACTAACGACAAGTTGGGTGACTTGCAGGAACAACCGTAACGAAAGCATCATTAGGATCATTCGTGTGTATATTTACTCGCGTATTCTAAGTTTTTGATCTCGTGGAAGAGAGTCGGGATATAGAAAATGACCCAGGTATTTAGCATCAATGACGCAGACTGCCACCTGGTCATGTATGGATTAATCAACCCGGAGCCCTTGCATTTCCGCCGTGCTATCGAGCCAGGAATGAACCAATACCTCTCTAATCATATCAACTCTCATTCCGCTGTGAGAACAGTTGTCTTCATTCTGGAATGAGATCCAGACTGTTATCTGTTGTTCACGCAACGACTACACTGCTCAAGGAGGCAGCGAGTGCATTGCATGACAGACAAGAGATCGGTACGTTCACATCGCGCACATGCGAAACCCTCATGTTGTTTCCACACGTGCTGGCAGACGGTCGGTGCCATGTCTAGAGCATCCGTAGGAGTTGGCCTCAGAAGATGACCCTCGTCGAACTGCGGGCACATGCATGTCTTCCATGTGGCGCCGCACATGTAGCAGAACTGATGACTGCAGCGACAACTAGGTAAGTTAGCACGTTTAACTGTGAGTATTTCGCGCGCTGCACTTACATGATATGGAAACAGCCAGTGTCTAGCTCGACCAGATTCTTGCACTTGGTACACTGTTGCCACATGACCTTTCCAGCTGTGGCCATCAATATCTTGGTGTCATCATCCTCGGCACACAGTCCTTTATGAGCTTCGTCCTCGCATACCGTACACGTCTTGGTGTCACAAAGATCGCATATCGCAACGCCACCACTGATATTTCCTTTCGGGACAACGTGATCGCAGTTCGCGCCAGAACATGGGGTTTCTTGAGCCTTCTCCTGCTCTGCTTTCTTCTCATTGACCTCGATCAATAGTTCTTCAGGTAGTAGAACACTGCAGCCCTTTACCCCGTTTTCGTTTGTGTCGAGTGGGATCGTGGCTTTGCAGCATTGAGGCGGGAAGAGTGAGGTATCTTTGTGGACAGCGAAGCGGAATAGATCTACGATGCAGTCCTTACAGTAAACATGGGAGCATTCAAGCTTGATGGTGTCCTTCTCGGGCTTTGTATCACCACAAGCACCGCAATCGGCAGTAGCCTCTGGTACCAGCTCGGGTTCTGACTCTGACTCCGGTTCTGACTCCGGCGCTTCAATGAGTTCTGGTGTGGGACTTGCTTCCTCCGCTACGACGCCTTCATCATCGGAGTTGTTCGCGGAGGTGTCGCTGCTTGATCTCGATGGCGTACGTCTTGCTTCGTCGCCGTTGTCGCTTTCGTCATCAGTATCCTGCTGATATGTCAGTGTCTTAATACATTCAACGTAGTGGGATTATCGCAGGTTCACGGAGTATCCGGTCAGTTGTCGGAGAATAGCATACCTGGCCATAAATGATCGATAGTTGATCTTGAAGCGTGTGACGAATAGCGCGATAGCTCGCAGTACCATTGTCGTCCAGTTGGACGCCTTCGAGCGCTTCTGCAATCTCATCTAGTCTGATCTGGATGACCAGTCTGCCGGTAGCGCGATCGAGCCCAGTGATGTCCATGGTTGATGGCGATAGGTAGAGACGTGAATGGAACGCCAACTTTGGCTGTACCAATGCAATGGTCTTGATGTATCAATGGAGCTAAACAGAGCGCTAGCAAGCGAGGTGGTGCTTTTCTGTAGCCCTCTTTCACGAAATCGGGGCCTTGAGGGTGAAACCTGAGTGGGGTCGTAAGCGCTGAGCGGAAATATCCAGTAGTTCTACCATCTGTACAGTGTATAGTACAACACATAATCCACATCGTCCAGGTGGTGATGCCAGTACGCCTTACAAAACAAAGCTATCTCAGTCGTCTTGCCACCACTCATCCTCCAAAAGTTCTTTGGCCGTAGGTCGATCTCTCCAATCAAGCTGCATGATCTTCGAGATGAAATCCCTGTCCTTCTTCGCCACTTGTCCTTCCGTGACAGACGCGAACGGTGTTAGTTCGTCATACGGGATCGTTTCCATCAAATACTGTATGACTTGGGCGATCCCTCCGTCACCCATTTCTATAAACGGTGGAAGAAAGGGTCCAAAATAGCGGAACTGTCGCTCGAGGACACCTAACAGGTACCCTTGTTCACCGCGATTTACATCTTGCGGCTGGAACAAATTCCTATCTCCACCGTAGATTAGACTGATGACCTGATGAGCGGACAGTCAGCTTATGCTTTATGACAACTTCCATCCAAATCTTAACACATACCACGGTACCAAACGACCATATATCTGTTGCGGTGTTCCAAGGCATTTCTAAGATGACCTCTGGACTAGACCACACAGGCGCACCCACAAGCTTTCCAGATCGAGCCCGCTCTGAGTCTACCGTACAACAGTCGCCCAGATCACCGAGCTGAACATCAGCGAAGCGATTGGGTCCCTCCTGAGAATTAAAGAAGACGTTGTTGGTTTTGACGTCTTGTCGTCCTGTCAGGCCGGTCCACTTACTTCAACGAATGGATTGCGCATACGTACCCGAGTGCACATAGCCTTTCTCGTGCAGAGTATTCAGAGCTAGCAGCAGCCTCCGAGTAACATATTTCAGCTCCTCTCGGCTCAACTTCCTTTCAATTGACGCAGTTAGGACATCACTGTCGAGATACCGCAAGGCAATAAGCGGAGGCATGGCAGCTGGCCCATCCATCTCGTCGACCATTGGTCTGATATGGGGGCAATGCTGGAACATTTTGAGCGCATCACGTTCTACTCGCACCGTTGGAGGTCCGCCTTTGATCACCACTTTTCTTTGACCTTGGTCCCTTGCATATCTGTCAGTGGCCAAGGCATAGAAAGCGATATCCTGGCCTCACTTCGCAAACCAAAGTGTCGGTGAGACTTGCTTGGTGATCGTGTAGCTGCCTGTGCGGCCCTTGAGAACCTCGCCCGCGCGGAGGAGAAACGACATCAAAGCTGTGGTTCCGTCGTCGCGCTGTCTAGCTGCAACGACGCACCAGAAGGCTTTATAAATTGTACACAATGACTTGACGCAATGAGCATGAGTGAAAACGCCAGTCGAGGCAGCGTGCATGAATGCGAGAAAGCCCTGGAGCACTTGAATGCGGCGCAGCCTCGCCAAGGCGCTACCTGCCCAGGTAGGTAAGGCCTCCTGAGATTGGTCGGCGTGTCGGCGTAAAGCCTTGAGAGCTCCTACACCAGCACCATGATTACCAGGAATTATGGACTTGCGTCGACCGCGCTACGCGCGCAACTGTTCTCACAGACTCACACTCTCGTATACCGAAGGCCTGGCTCAAACGGTTAGCGGCGAGGCTTTTTGGACATGCCGGAGCCTAGGCCCGTCTGTGCCAAGCCGATATACAGTCCTGGCCCGAGAATATGCATGTGAGTCAGATTCCATCCTATGTACCTGGAAGCACGACAGATATTTCATTTTCTCAACGAGTAATAATGGTGTGTGGATCTGAGTGCATGAACACATGGCTGTTCGAATGGCAAGCTGGACTAAGGGTGGTCCCGTACCGCGCCCCATAGGCTCCCCGTCATTGTGAACTCTTTGCATCGCCTAAAGTTAGTGGTCAAGGCATGCTTTGGGATAGCTGAAAGTTGCAGCAGCATGTCAGAGCTGAAGTCGTAACAGGGTCGGGCATGATGTCAGACTTCAAACATGATTTCAGATACTCGACACATCACATCTCTCAATACCTGGCTATCACAAGACTATATAGAGAGAAATCTCGAGATCCGAAGCGTCTAACAAAGAACGAGAGGCGAGAGGGGAGGATGGCCTCGGGAAGCTCCCCTGTTCTGGTACAACTCGGATGTGCTCCGGGTCGCCCACTTCCCCTTCACGCCGGACCGCGGCATGCGCGACATGCCCAAAGTAAGTATATGATCCCCCCTCTGCGCCAGTATTACACGCATGCTAGATACGAGGGCAGGGGCGCTGTCATCGCTGCCTTCTTCTGAGGTTAAATTCGAATTTGAAGTCCGTCACCATTCACCGTTTCACGCCCCCTGAAATGGTTCCGTCACCGATTAGACTTATCACGATGAGAACAGTGTAACGCGAAGCTATGAAAGCAGACATCATGATAGGCTCCGAAACCATGTCATTGATATTGCAACACCGATCCCGAATACCCTCAAACGTAGTTCAGTCAGAATCACTGCCTAAAAGCCACCCTACCGCCTGGAATAAGACGACCTTGTAAGCACTGATGTGCTGACCTGCGTAGAAACGATAAATTCCTGCACAGATATGAAGCTTACTTCAACTTCCGCGCAGACACGAGGCACTCCTGGAGGTCGACCACCAACTGTCTAGCATCTAGACCATTGGCAGAGTGCAGCGTGAGACCGGAAAGCCTACCTGCAACGAAGATCCAGGCCTGTATTGCGTCTCCAAAGACAGATTCCCTTGCTCATGTTGTTCTATATAAGACGTTGCCAGCTCTAGAGAAATCTCGCACCAGCATCAACAGCATCACCAAGCACTCGAAACTCGACAATTACCAATACTCATTGTTCAACATGCTTTCCTCCAAACTCCTCAGTCTTTCTACCTTGGCTCTACTTCCTTTGGCCTTTGCGGCTCCAGCTCCAGCTCCAGCTCCGGAACCCCTCTCTGCCGCTAATGCTGCGATTCAATGGATTCCGATCGACTTCAATGGCAAAACTCTCTACCTCAATAGCGCAGCAGTAGTCGTGTCTGCCAACCCCGGTGATGTGGCGACACGAGCTCTGCTCACTGGCTCCCCCGACTCTGACACCTGTGATGGCACCACTCTCGACCCGCATCCTGCTCCTTTCGCCAACACGGCAGACTGTGCGGTGATCCGTGACTGTAAGCCTCCAAGTCTCTGAATTCACTTCTGTAGAGTATTTGTGGCCAAAAGAGCGACTGACTGATCATTCACCAGATACCCGCGGCCTGAACACCTACTATGGCGTTTGGGACAACACTCCTGACACACACGGTGTCTTGTACTACGGCACCTGTGTCTTCGAAGCAGGCACCCGTAACATCCAGGAAACCTGGATTGGATCTTCGAACATAGCGGACATCACTGAGCTTGCCCTCAACAAGTGGCAGGTACGTTCCAGCTCTCCCAAGGAAGTGCCAAGTTTCTGTGCTAATGAACAAAGTCTGGCGGTGTTGTTGCCTCTCAGGGACAGACAGAGTGCGACAACTCTGGCATCGGGAAGTCGACTGTTAGGTGGACTATCAAGCATTCTTGAGCAGTCTCTACCTAGGTAGTGAAGGATGAAGCGTTGCTTTCTGGCTGATTGGGGTGATTCCATAAGCCTAGCTTCGTCGAAGGGGAATGCCTGGGTAAACAGTGATTAGAGGATGTGTTGTTTTAGCTTGGAGTATGTAGTCGGTCCCTACCTATTAAAGCAGAGAGCTATGAAATTTTCTAGTTTGTCTATGAGTGTGTTGTCATCGTGCTACAGCCTGTGCATGCCAGGGCGAGATGCACTATACTCTGTTTGTCGAGCCTTCCCGTCTCAGGTACAGCCCCGCCCGGCTAAAGCAGAAGCCGTTCTCCACTAGTTCCCTAGCATCCTTTGCACCATTGCGACACGTTACATTCTCCCTTCCGTTGCGCTCCTCGCAGTTGCTGCTGAACCCCAGATTCCTCACGCCGTCTTGATCTCTTCTCATCGTCATGGTGTCCACGCGCTCGCATCCGCAAGGCGACTTCCCTGCCACGGAGCCATCACCCGTCAAGAAGACGCCAAGATCACGAACTTCGACCGCGTCCCCGGCGCCCACCTCCCCAGACCTCAATACCTCACCGCCACCGAAATCGCTTGCGAGGCGAGCAATCTCCAATGCCAAAGCCGAAATTAGCCCTCCCTCTCCATCCGAAATCGACGAGCCGACGTGGTGCCACACGGCATCCAATCTTACGATAGTCTGGCTTGCAATCTCGATTCCTCTTGTGCTATGGGACACGCTATATGTTCTTCTGCGCCCACATACCATGGCCGGTGGCGCGCTTCAATGGCCCATCTGGAAGCCATACGAGATTTACGCTTCGATCGATCACGTATACGGATGGCCCGGATGGGAAAACCATGATGGTTTTGGCGGCGCGCAAGCCATGCTGAACGCTGTGGAGCTTGTGCTATACGGCCTCTACTCTATGATCATATACAATCACAGTGTCCCTACATCTGGAGGTACTGGCCTGCAGCTCAGCGAGGGCGTGGGCAAATTCCTCTCTGGCGGTAGGAAGGTGCGCGGCAAGATTGGTAACCGCGCGCTCATTATCGGCTTCGCTGCAGCAGTCATGACAGTCAGCAAGACAGTGCTCTACTGTACGTTCACATACGACACACGGGCAATACACAGGCTAACGAGGGTAGACTTCAATGAGTATTTCTCTGGTTTCGCAAACGTTCGCCATAACGACTGGGCAACGCTTTTGGTCTTCTACCTTGTCATGAAGTAAGCTGATATCCTGCATCTGTTTGCACCTCGTACTACAAGGGACAGAAAAGCTAACTTTCCCGCAGTGGTCTCTGGGTCATCTTCCCCGCATACATGACTGTCGTCTTCGGTACCGATATCCTACAGGCACTCGACATCGCAGCCGATTCTTCATCTAAGAAGCGCTATTAGCTCGAGTTTCGAAAACGCATTCTACACATACCAATGTCTTATACTTTGATCACTAGGAGTGTTCAGCATCCACCGGCCCTTTCGTTAGGAGCCTTTCGCATTCTTGTGGCGTTTACGGAAGCGACGACAAGCGGTGCGGATTAATCGCCGGAGCCATGCAAAAAGCCCACCGCACGCATGTCCAGCATCGTTGACATCGCCCGGCGCAGCTATTGACGGCTTCACGGAGCCTTTGGTTAGCGGCTGATACAGACAAAGTTACCCGTCTAGGGCTGGTGCTACTCACCACGACCGATACCCCACTGACGTCACGCCTTAAGCCAACGAGGGAGGAGCTTGAATCCCAACCGTCCGGTGGCAGGCTCGCTGATATTCGCTGCGCGTCGGCGGTCAGGCTGTCGAGCATGTACGGCGCTTGTACTCGATCGAGCGCGACATCCATTGCGTGATGTCTTGCTGCTAATGTGTCGCGATCTTTAAAGTGGGTTGTACGAGTGAAGAGTTGGACGTCCAAGAGGCAAACGAAAGTGTATTGCGGTTGCGCTCGCTAGTGGTCACATTCACTGCCTGTTCGCGATATACTTCTGTCACGCGCTTCAGAGAAGTTTCAGTTTCATTGTTACTTTACAATATTATGCTAAGCATCAAACTAGTAGCCTCATCGTTACTCATTGCTGTCGTTCATATTACGGTCAGAACCATACTCCATCGCATCGATGCAAAGTCTAAACAAACATCTCCGAGCTTTTTGACAATCTCTACATCACATTGCATCCAATCCCCATTCCACAAGTCCTGCCCTCCTTCTTTTTCTTCTGCATACCCTCTGCTTCCAAATCCTCGCTCCTTCGAACACCTTGTGCTCCCTCCTCACTGACCACCCTGCGTCTTTCACTCAGATCTGCCATGCTCACTGCTTTAGCAAACGGTCCATCATCCGTCTCCACAATCGCCTTCTTCCTTTCAAGCTCGTCTCTGCCCGGCGTGCTAAAGACAGAGCGTTTGCTAGTGACCGTTCCGCCGGAGACACATGATCCCTCAGATGGCGAGACGTGTCGCGCTACGTTGCCAGCCGCATCTAACATAGGCTTCCGAGGCGGTGATTCCATGGGCTGCTGTGGAGGGGCGAGATGCATGCGCGCACGAATATCTTCCTCTCGCAGGGGCTGTTGCATAATCAAGGCGTCGTGTCCTGGGTAATCTGACGTTGTCGCGTAGCCTGTCTGAGAACCAGGCACCGCCCTCTCCGGTTGCGCAGCCCTTGCGAGTGCCCGTTCGCGCATCTTCCGACGCTCAGTCTGGGTGTAGAACGCCATGAGCTTGTCTCCTGGCCCAACATACATCTGGGGATGGTCCGTGGTGAAAAGCCCAGAGCCACAGGATGGTTGCTCGTCGAAGGACTCAAAGAATTCGAGCTTTGGTGTCGGTGCTGTGGGCGTAGTAGTAGGGGTGGCACGAGGAAGGCTTGATCTGGATTTGGGCCTGGAAGAACGCGTGGACTTTGGGAAGGGCGTCGGAGTTCCGAGCGGGAGATAGGCGGAGCGTTTCTGGGAGTTTGTCTTCGGGGTGGGTGTGTCTGGACAGTCGGTGTATGCGTCGCTGTCGATGTAATCACCAGCTTGGATCTCTGCATCTCGCGGGTTGGTGGCTGGCGTGTCGTCTTGGTCACGCGATATCGACTCGCGGTGCGAAGACAACTCCGTCGGTGTGCTGTACGGACGTTTCTTCGGACTTGTTGATCTGGAACCGCGCTTTACCGGTGACCGCCTTGTCATCATTCCGCCGCCTCTCTTGATGGTGACATTGGCAGTGATGTTTGCGGGAGAGCTTCCGAAGTTACCGTTCCCTGTTGTTGTGGTGTAGTCGGCGAAGTCCGTCTCTTCATGACCAGAACCATGCACGTATGCTCGCGGAAAGCCATCGCTCTTTGGTCGCACCTTTGCGCTCACTGATGTGTCTTGGGTATCAACATTCGGTGATCCAGTAGTCGCAGAATCTTGTCGCGAAGCCTCATCCAAACTCGGTGGCGGCGACGGCGAGATAGCGCGAATCGTGGAGCGCGCCGTTGATGGACGTGTAGGGCTCGGCGGGCCAGGCGTAGTCGCGCGCGGGCGAAAGTGTGTTGACATTTTCGCAATTGACAGTCGTGATGTTGACTGCGAGGATGCGGGCGTTGCTAGGAGGATGTGGGTGGGACCGAACTGAACGAACAATGCAGGGCAAAGCCGATCAACGACTTTCGGGCTAGAGCGCACGTGGGATGAACACACAAACGTAAAACTCGTTCAAGGCGTGCGAGTGAAGTGAGAGGGGATGCGTGACGCGCTGTGGAGTGTTTGCGAAGTGCCGTTGGTAGCCTACAGGTGCCCTGCCCTCACTTCCTGTCGTCGGGCTACTGTACTGGTCGCCTTTACTGCCACTTTGCTGATACTTATTGGTCGGTCCACTACGAGATGAGCACAGTTTCCACAAACCGAGACTGCTTGGAGGTTTTCGCGATGGCTTTTTGTTGCCGTTACACAGGTACGTCATTGTGTAAACCTTACGGCATATGTGCCGAACCGATGCTGCCTGACGCGCAGTTCACTTCGGCCCTTCGGAAGATTTCCACCGCATGGCCAAACATGGTTATTTGGCTCTATTTCAAGCATCTGAGCTGGTATATATCCCTCCGTTCGGCTTCTCCTACTTTAGTGCTGGAGGTTAGCGGAGCCCTGGAGTGCTAGAGAGTCGCAATATATGCAGAATTAGTACGGCTATGCGTTAACACCTTATTTATAGGTACATCTAAGCTACTACTACCATTCCCCGCTCGATTCTCCAGTCTACGTCAAAACCATTCCCTTATGGCCCTCAAGGCTACATCATCTAATAACTGTCCTCTTCACAACCAAAACACCCCAACCGCCTCTACCCAATGTACTCTGTCTCTCCTCACTTCTTGGCATTCACGGTCGTGAGATGTTCCGCCTCTAACTCCTCCTCGTCCGAATCCTCAGCATCATCAGAGCTATCATGCGCCTCGCTATCCGAGTCGTCATCGCTGTCATCCTCCTTCTCATCGTCGCTAGAGTCATCAGAAGTATCTTCCTCATCGGTACCGTCATCTGCGTCAACGTCTGTGGAGCTGTTGAGGCCGATCTGCCTAGAGGTGTTGCCTTCGTCTTCCTCGTCACTGCTTTCGTCATAGTACTCCTCAACGGAAGCCAAGACATGCGCATGATGAGTCTGAACGAGCGGTGCCTCCACAGGGCTAACCGTCATGTGACTCTCTCCTTGACTGGAAGGTGTTGGTGCTCCGTACACTCTTGGCTGTTCGTGTGCTTCGATCCCCCTAGTGCTGCCAACCTGGGCAGGTACCGGGTACACAACGGTCTCTCTCCATACCCCAGTGTCTTGGACTTGCTTTCCGTAGCCTTTACTGCCATCTTCTGCGACCAAGCGCGCCTGGCGATCTTGGCAGTGCTTCGACGCTTCTTGGCCCTCGAGCTTCTCGAGCGTCAGTGCAGCTTTATCGGTCCATTTGCTGACGGTACGGAGTGCAGCAATGCCAATCTTGATGTTTCTCTTGTCTTTGATGTTGATTATGCTAACTGGCTTTGTTGCTGTTGAAGCTTCAGGAGTCTTGGACGTGGAATTCTTGCTTGAGTGTTGTAGAACGGCGGTAAGTCTAGGGCGGAGCTGGAGTTTCTGTGATGGGAGATGCATCTTGATCGAGTATGTGCTACGAGAATTTGGATGAATATGTTAGGCTGTAAGTTGCAAGCGCCAGGCTTAGAAAGTAGAATGGTAATGATTGTTGTTAGTGTTGTCGAGGCTGTCTCTTATGCTGAGTCCTGACGATGTGCGAGAACTGCTAGCTATATATACCTTGCTGCGTGACAGGTCTGGAGCGCCCATTGAGTATTTATATCGTTGTCATTGAAGCTGCCATACTGTGATACTTGATTGCCTTCAATATCTGACTTGGAATGTAAGAGCCGCACATTCACTGTTTGGCAACCACCTGTCGCTTCTTGAACAATTGACGGCACACAATATCACCCATTTCTTCGAGCTTGGTTGCCAAACGCGCGGCATACTACTTATGGTAGCAGTTCAAAATAGCCAACTTGGCTTATGACTTCCTCTCGCTAGCATACGAACGACTTTTAGTGCTTTCTCTCGACTCGGGTTTGACGCGAGCTGAATATTGTGAGTGATTGAACAGTCTGGCTTTTACATTACAACGATCCAGACAGTTCAATTCAAATATATATATCATTTGTACTATAACATCAACCCATAGACGAGCGACAGTTGCGCAAGCCTGCACAACCGGCCTAAACCCTTGCAAAATACGCCTGCGAAAAGTCAACCACTTGCACCAGGCAAGTAAACCAAACCAGCACTGAATCTATCGAGAACCGAAACAAAATTCTGGTCGCACTCGCCATGACTGGCTCAACAACCAACACGTCGCATCTTCAAAACCTCACTTCTTGGTAGTATAACCCTGCAGATGAGCAGGTTTCCCTGTAGCCTTCTCCATCTTGTTCTTCTCCGCTGCTAGCCTTTGCTTCTCTTGATTTCGTAGCCTTTCCTCGTCTCTCGTCTTTTTTTCCTCCTTCGTAAGCTTCTTGTAGTCCGGGTTCATCAGTCCTGTTTCAACTTGCCGTCGAGTACCGGCTGGCAAAACTTTGTTTCTGTTCTGCCCGATCCATTCGTGACTCATCAGCCTATAAGGCATTTTTAATGATAAATTTCGTATTGGGTATGTATAATGCGCTAGTGATACGTGAAGACTGAAGTGTATGGCCACGGAAGATCGGGGTAGAATAGTGTTGTTTGACTTCAAGTTGATGAATTGGACTTGTTGAGGAAACCTGAAACTGCGTTCTTGGGAATCGTGTGCAATGTGGTATTGTTGGTGGATGATAATGCGCGTTGTCTGAATATAAAGTACTAGATTCGAGGTATATATAGTCGGCAGATTTGCAGCTTTGGTGATGTGTTGAATTGATCGCCGTGATTCTGTGCGTCTGCGATTGACGTTTGTCATTCCAGGGATGGCCCAGCTGGTTCGACAGCATGAACTGCAGTCTTCTGCCCACGACCACTTCAAGACCGGAATCCGCGCACCTTTGCTGGGCGCTATTGCCACCGAGCGCGATCGTGAATCGAGGACCTATCACATTAACACACAGCAGCACCATCCCCGATCACCTCTCCCGGCTTCCCCATTAAACTCCATATCCGGGTACACACCGAGTATCTGCTCCCTGTACTCTTCTACCTCCCTTGAAGGATCTTTACCCAGGCTGTCCGTCGACATTGACTTCTGGTACACTGAAGAGCTGTCTGCCGTCAAACGGCTACCTCTAAGTTTTGCGCGCTCTCTAGCGTCACCGCGCTGTCGACGTTGTATCTCGAGATCTTCGTATGAACCCCATGGAGGAGGTCTGGGACCATTTTGGATGTCGGTCGACGAATGAAAAGACGGCGCGGCGTTTGTGAAGTTGCCGATTGAGTGTGGGTAATTGCCGCGGGGTGGCGAGATCAATGGCGGTGAAGCTAAACTGAAAGATGGTAGCTGTCCGAACTGGTATTTTAGATTTGCATCTTTGGGTTGAGTTCGCCGCAGTGCTCGCATGTCATCGTCAATGTCATCCCAGTGACCGCGAGGTTCGTATGAGTCAGTAGCCGCGGACTCTTGTGTATTGCTGCCAAAGACACGGTGCTCTCGCGCCCTAATGCTCGACTCACCAAAGACGGCGTCATATGAGGGTCCATCTGCCACGTGTGATAAAGACGCGCTATGCGCTGCAGTTATTTGACTCGAATGATCTGGGCTAATGTCTATCGGTAAATCAGGCAACGGCCGACGTGGAATGAGGTAGCGGCTCCTCTTGGACAGCGGTCCCGCCGGAGTATCGGGGGTATTGGGCTCGTTTACTTTTTGGAAGTATTCTGGATGAGCCGGCTCGTCCGAACTTCGGTAAGCGTCTGCGCTCCGCAAGTCGATTTCTTGTTGTTCGCCTATCACTGAAGCCGCCCCAAGTGGAAGTGGTGGCAGCGGACGCTGATACGTACCCAAAGGGTCACCGCATTGCTTAATTGGCTTGTGCGAGCCGGTCCGATCAGATTCATTGTTGGAAGATGTCGATTGTTGCATCCGTGGATGTGATGATGGCAGGTCGCACACCGTCACCTCAGATGGATCTAACGAGTGGCTTCCGCGTGGAGTGACAGCCCGTGTAATGTGATTTGGTGTATTTGCCGATCTTGTACACTCTTGCAACGGCTTTCGATTGGGAGGGAATGTTTGTCTTTTGCTATACTGTCCCGTGCTGCGTAATATTGCTGATTCGACATACTGTGCAGGACTGCCTGCCGCAGTCTGGGTGACATTGTTGTTTTGATCGCAGTCTTTAGTCTCAACAGACTCTGTTTCGATGAAAACCTGCAATACAGGTGTCGTCGATGTTCGAAGAGGTTTTGGAATAAGGCTGTCCGGGCTCGACGGTCGTGAAGAGGCTTCGGTGACGCAATAAGCTTGATAAGGCCGCCTGGGGAGTGTGTCATGTAGTAAAAGCAGCGCCTCGCCAGGCCCTTCTTCAGGTGTTCCAAAGGGTATCAAATGGGTGCGATCCATGGGTTTGGCGATTTCTAGAAATTGAGAGATTGCGCGAGATTAAGTTTAGGGGGGTGGAAGAGGGGAGGTGGTAAATTCATTGAGAAAGTGATACTGTACGCCCAACATACATTGCTTGAGTGTTTGTCTCTGTCGTTTTCCTAGACGTTCCACCGACGAAGGTCGCGAATCCGGCTGTTGACCGTAACGTCATCACCCCGAGCACGTACCTCGTGACTGAGGCAGCAACAGCAAACGGTCGTGACCGAGAGCCATATCGTCCGTGCACAAACCCTTAGATTCCGAGAGCAGAGTAACAGTCATGCGCACCTTTTCTCAGGCCTTGCTCGAAAAGCCAAGTGAAGCCACCTCTGTATCCACTCTCTCTGATTCGCTTGAGGACCCACAATTCGAACATGCCAATCTTGTCGCCTTTTGTTTCTCCGCACCCAAAGAAGGCGAGAGCGTCTTGATATCCGACTTGCCAACCCTGTTCGTACTTTTCGTGCTCATAGTGACCGTTGGGATCCACTCCACTCCAGTAAGACACGTGCTGTTGGACAGCCTCATGCATCCGCCCGTCTTTTTCGTGTCTGGCTTTCTCGACCACCCCACGCCTATCATCAGCGGACATTGTTGTGTACTGAGGTGGCACAATGCTCCCGTCTTCCGTTTTAGCTTTGAAGCCCCACTCACCACCAGGCATCCAATCCATTTTCCAGGTCCAGAAGAAACTGCCGCCAGCTCGTTGCTGGTACCGCCTACTCTGCGCTTGACCAAACTGTTGCACTAGCTCTTCCTTGGGGACTCCGCCGCCCTTGGCCCAAGAGTCTTCGGTCATGACGCAGGAGTACTCGCCAACAATGACTTGTACTGCACCACGGTCATGAACGGAGCCTTCTTTACCGTCAAGCTGTCCAAGCTTGGTACCGGCCTCTTCGGTGATTTGCTGTGGTGTCTTTGCTTTATCTTCGTCTGTGAAAGCCCAGTAGTAGTGCGTATCGATCACTACTGGGCACTGCGGGTGCGAGTAGATGGAGTTCTTCTGCAAAGTCCAGTCGACTGCTTTCTCTAGGTGCCAACCGTCGGAGATGATGATAGGAATGCCGGGATCGATAGCAGAGACAGCAGCTATGCATTCATCGTACCACTCATACATGCGTTCTGATTCCCACTCAGCCTCATTGACGAGCTGGAGACCGGCAATTTCAGCTCCAGCTTTTGTGTCCTCAGCAATGAATTGGCAGCAGTGAACGCCCAGCGCGCGGTTGGTATGGCTGGTCCAGAGTTCAGCACGCCCACTGTTGGTACCGGAGTGTTCCTGCGCGTTTCCACCTCCTGGCAATGCATGTAGATCGATGAGAACACCAATAGAGCGTGCACGCAGGCGTTGGATCAGGGTGCGGATACTATTCCATGCTCCAGTGTATATTCCTGCGTACGGCTCGAAAGGTGTGCCCTGGGTGAAAACAGCTCCGGGGAGGTCGTAGTAACCGATGGGCAGGCGGACGGTAGTGCATTTGGCTACATTAGCAAGCCATCCGATGGCGTTATCGGTTACGATGTTGGCCCAATGCTCTTCGAACTTTTGTTTCGTTTCAGCCATGCCAATCTTGTCGACCCAGGCCTGTACTGCTGCAAGCTCGCTTGATCCCTCAGAACCGTCAGGAAATCGAGAGCCTTGAAGCCATCGTTCAATGACGTAGACCGAGCCGAGGTTAGTGCCATGATGATAGCGGTAGCGAAGTATATCTAGAGTTGTCGGATCGCTGATTCCATGTTGCTGCCCTTGCTGATGAGCTGGAGGAAAGTGGTGTTGATGTTGTGCCTCAGCGGCTCCGTCAAATTTTGAGTTGCAAGGCTCGTCGCGTTGAGTGAAGCCTTTGAGTTCGGCTTTGGCTTTTTGAAGGAAGCCCTTCATCGTGGATATGCTGATCGGGTTAGTACTAGTGAGCGGATGCCTCAGTTGGGTAACGAACAGATTGTTGATAGATGCTCAGATCGAGTTTCAAGGTGTAGGTGAGTCTCTGGACTTGAATAAGTTCTGTTGTAGGGGTTTTGAGGTTTGAAAGTCGAGCGTATAAAGGGTTGGCTGTGCTGGTGAGTAGGTGTGGCTGAGCCATCATGGTGGAGCAATGGAGCCGCGTAGCCGTGCATTTGCTTCTTCTTTGATGACGTAAGACAAGGAATGGAGACCCGTAGGCAAGTGCGGCCGGCATGCACGTAGGTTCGTGCACAGAAACTGTGGCTGCATCTTATCGTGCTATCTTATCTGTGCAAGTGCCTCGGAACTTTGACGAACGCGTGGGTTCTCTAGCTTGAGACGCGCCGTACTAGAGTCGTGGTGGTCTACTCACTGCAAAGCGACGGGACCATTGCTAGGAAGATGTGGATCAATCATCATCCACGTGTCCTAGTCGTAGCTTACTCGTGAAGGTGACTCTGCCTGCAGCAACAGCAACGGGGAAAGTGCAGAGAGAATGTTCTCAGCGCCACGCGTTCTTCGAGGGCCCCAACAGGTGTCGTTCGACGCGTAATTCAATGCAAATGAGTAACAATAGTAGATAGAGGACTGAGGAATAGAAATGGAACACCTCCCAGTCATGCCAACTTTGTGCTGTGCTAGTTCAGGCGCCATCCCGCCTTCTCGCCAAGCTGGACCCTGACATGCCACCCAATCGCGTCGCCTAGCGCCTCTGATGCGACTTCCCCAACCGCGACGCGACTGCTTCCACACCATCATCCTCACTCCAATTCTGTTTTGATTTGTCTTTCCCAACCTCGAACACAACACAGAAAGACTCATTACTATTTTGTGGTTACACTTTCGTCCCACGTCACAACAGCGCATTCACGCGCGTCCATCGTCCCGTCTCAACGCGTCGCAATATCCCTCAAGTCGCAAAGACAACATGAGCGCCACAACACCACAGAGGCCAAACATGGCCACTCAGCATACCCCCTCCAAGACACCCTCGCGACGCGTGCTCGGGGATCTCACCCCAAAGGCCATAAATACGCCCTCCACCCCTCATGGACCGTCTGAGGTCGCTCGAGCCCAAAGCCCGCTGAAGCAGGTTACTACGCACACACCGACCAACCCTGTCGGCAAGGAAAACCTCATGACTCCCCAGACCAACTCAAACAGCAAGAAGAGGGGCATAGAAGAAGTCGACGGCGCTGAGGCCGTTGAGAGTGTGAAGATGCTTGCTCACGCCCGCAACGAGAGTCTTCCTACCGCCGGCGTGCGCCTAACCACCGACGCGGTGCAGAAGCATACTGTAGGCTACACGCGATACTGACGCGTCTTGACACCACTGACATATCGAAGGAGAACAACCCTATTGGCCTCGCAGATCCTGGATCCCCCACCGAGCGCGCTACACCAACACCCTCACCCGAACCAGAGCCGAGGCAAGCCTCCCAGAAGAGCAATCAATCCTTCTCCGACCTTCTCAACTACGAGCTGTGTGCCAGCCAGAAGAGCGAACATGGAGAACGTGTAGCTATGCCAGCGGCTGCCCCCGCACCAGCACCTGTGGAAGAAAAGAAGAAATCGCGTGCCGAACAGTTGCGCACGCGTCTCAAGTTTGGACTGTATAAGCTCAAGACAAATCAAGTCACCAAACGCGATGCGGATATCATTGGACCCTACGAAGCTCGCGCCTCTTACTCGTCGGACGCGATCAACGCGTCGAGATCAACAGCCATGACAACCTCACGCGAGTCTCTGGGCGATCCCCGCGTACCCAACATCACCATATCTGCTCCGCAACGCGATCAAGGGCCTGTATTCGTGAGGGCCAACCTAGATCCCTTCCACCCGATCTCCAAACTCGGTCCCGCACCCGTTCAATTCGCCATACCCCAAGGCAACATGCCCGTATCATCGCGCATGGTGCCCGGCTATGCATTCACGTCTTCACCACCCGGGCCTCAACTGCCCCACTCAGTAGCCCCCGATCAACTCTCGTCGCCTGTGCGACCCAGGAATTACTACCCTGCGCACTCTGACTCAAGAACACGAATGGGTGAGCACGATGCAGAGCGCATCAACGTGCAGGAAGAGAACGCGCACTACAGGCTTCAAAGGATGAAGCAACAACACTACAGTCTGGCTAGCAGCGTCGGCGGTGTTAAGAGCGACGCCGCAGAAGGCCTGCTACAACTCATGCAAGATACACGGTAGATACCCCATGTAGAAGCATAGACACATTATTACTCGTTGCATCCGTGGTATCTTAAGATCACCATACTATGGCCTAATCAATTCTTACGAACTGATGATTTGCTCGAAGAGAATATCTCACCGTGATGTTCTTGACGTGACGCTCCATGAGATGAGTGCTAACAAGTTAGGAACATGGCCAGATTCTTGGTTAGAGTTGCTTTGAAGAGTTGGATTTGGTGACTACAAAGTGCGAACGTTGTCTTCGCTTTCGTTGACCGAGTCGTCAGATCGTGACTCCATGTTTCCATCAACCGGCTGCTCTTCCACCACATCCTCAACAGCTGCTGCGTTCTCTTTCGCCTCAACATCGTTCTTCACATCAGGATATTCCCCAACGCGCTCGACAAGATCGTTCGGCGGCTCAATGCTCTGCTCATCCACAGCCTGAGCTCGATCGCCCGATAATCCCATTCTTTTCGCTTTCCGTCCACTGTTCATATCGCGTGGGCGGACTACGCGAGACGGAGGAAGTGTCTGCTTACTCGCATCAGTGATCAAGTCTGCCATCTTGAAACACCTCTCCACGAAGGCTTTCATCGCACTTTCGTCGCGCAACTCTGTATCGCCATGGCCACTGTAATGCGCAGTGAGCGCGGCGCCCTTGGCACCGAGCTTGCCAGACTGTACAGTATTGTACGAAACAGCTACACCGAATAGGTTTCCAATCACCGGTTGCCGGAACTGGATACCAGAGAAGTGATAAGTGACGGTACGCATGCCCTTTTCTTCACTCGGGAATCCGGGTATAGTCCACTTGGGGATCTGTAGGCGGAGAGGTGGCGCAGTGAGGCGGCCACCGCTCTCAATGTTGTCTGTTACGGCATCAACCCACGCCTGTACATTCTCGTCGTTGTAGTCCCTGTTGTTGAAGCTGAGGTTTGCTCGGCGTTGAAATCGTACATCTACGGCCTTGTCTGGGAGCAGAACATCGTGGATACGATGATCGAAGCTCAGTGCGAGTTTGCGGAAAGTGGCTCTGGCACCACTGCGACCAGTACGCATTTGGATCCTGAGTTTGGGCAATATTTGTCCTGGCTCGTGCTCCAGGTCAGGTCTAAATTCGTAGTGCAAAGATGGTGCTTGCAAGCGCGAAACGACAGAATAGTTGGGCGACGTGAAGACACTATTCAGTCCTGGGAATGTTGACAGAAAAGGTGCCTTGGATGGATCAGAAAGAGCAGCTTCCACTACTCGGCTGGGGTCCACATCTTCGAGAGGGAATAGAGCCTGGCCAAATTCGGCGGAGACCTCGTATGTTGGGTTCGGTATCCAATTGCTCAACTCGTGTTTAGGCAATGGCACAGCAGAAGCGGGTCGCAGAATGGTCCCTAGAGTCCGGTTCACGAGACCGTGGAGTGTTGTTTTGGGGGCTTTTGCGGGTTTCGCAGCCTGAGCTTCGACAGTGTCAGGCTCAGTGAGCCGCATGATAGGCATTGACAGACGTCCCAGCTCTCGTTTGCGATACTTGTATTCGAAAGAATCGTGTTCGGTAAGAACCGGCGACAAGAACGCTGCACTCTCGGCACTTCCTAGTTTCTGAGTGTCGAAGGTACGCTCAGCTGCATCCTTGAAAGGCAAAAACCTGACCAGTGTCCTTTTTGCCTCTTCTATGGAGCTCACGTCGAAGCCTCTGATTACCAACTAAAAGAATTAGCTCGGTTATGAACGATTTACAGAGATCGTGCATACCATAGACTTGCCGACTGCCTCAATACTCGTGCGAGTCAGAGCCGAGACGACATCAAAGTCTTTCTGTGTATAAAACAAAGTTACCAGATTGGACTTTGAATCCAACGCAACAGGACCATTTGCTAGCTGGCGTAAATAGTTGTTCAGGTTCATCCGTTTCAATTCAGTGTGTTGGAAAGCTTCCTCGATATCATTGGCAGCGTACTCTGCTGTCGTCTTATCGGATGTGATGCGGAGGGCGTTATCCGGTTTGTACATGTCGAGCCTCACTCGTCGGGTCCGTCGAATCTTGTCAAAAAGGGTGTCTTTGTCTGCAGGCATGTTAGCGAGATCCACGATTAAGGATGCTATAGTACGTACCACCAGCCTTAAGCAGCATCACCTGCCACGGTTGCAGAGAAAGCTCTAGCTCTCCGGGGGATTCGATTTCTTCCAAGAGTACGAGATTCCAAACATCCCTCATTATGCGATCAACAAGCAGCTGCTTGCTGACGTTCTTGCGGTAGCCCATGATCTTGACAATACGATCAACGCCAGGCAGGCGTTGAGTTATCGGCGTAGTACCTGGCTGCCATTCTGATCGCTCCACAGGTTGCTTCTGGTTTCCTAGTTGGTCCTTCCGTTTGATGCTGTCGATCACTCCCTGATTGACCTTCTCTTGCCGTATATTCTTTGCGACCGAGTAGAAGATTATCAATTGCTGTTGCGTGAAGCCTTTCATGAGCTTCTTTCTCAGCTTGACAAACGTAGTCTGCTTGACGTGATGCGGCTCATTGGGGTCGCCATCGTTGTTCGGTCGCAAGGTCTCGATCTGCTTGTATATTTCTTCCGGCGCGAGCGCTTTCCCTTCTTCTTCGAGTGAGGCAAGAATGTCTGGGACCTCGAGAGGTTCGGAGATTTCGATTACTTCGGCATCTTCGGAGGCTTCGGTGGTTGTGGTGGCTTCTCTTTGTGCTGGTTCCCCGACTTCCCTCAGGACCAAGATATCGGCATCGTCGCCCAATCGCTTGACGCCCAGATCTTGCGAAGTTTCCCGTAGGATCTTTTCTCCTTTCCTCTTCCTCAAGCGATTGATCGGCGTCACTTGTTTTGTGATCTTCAGAGGCGGTGGTTGCTCGTCTTCAGTATCACCGCGGCGGCGTGCAGACGCAGAAAACCTGGCTCGGGATGGTGGGCGAGGAAAAGCGGGCAGTCGCCGTCGGGCAATTTGCGCTTCACATCGGAGGCATACAAATGCACTCGAGGTCCGGGGCGCAAGCATGAAGGAGGACGAAGCGGGGAAAAAGTGCAATGAGGATGGCAGTGACGGGCTCGGAAAGTGCGATGCGTGCTCCAACTTTCGTGACCGCCCTAATTCTGCCATCGCGCTTTCACGTGTGAGGCGCGTCATAGTGCGACGCCCGCGAGCATTACTTCAGAGTTCAATATTAAATGTAGGAATTTGCATTAAGTGGCACCTTTTGAACTTCAAGTTGGACGACGCCAGCTGCAGAGATCTTCGCGCAGGTCAAACTCATCTACCTCATGGTGTGGACGATGTCGCTTGCGCGCCGCCTCTGCCTTCATCTGCGATGCCTGCTGCTCCAAACTTCCCCGGCCCCGCACGTTCGGCGAGTGATTCGATTTCATATCTCCAGGGCGCAGCGTCTCATGCGACTTGCGATGAGCGCTGCTGCCGCCGCGCATGTGACCGTGCTCGCTCTCACTCACAGAGCTGCTGCTATCGCCTGCTGCAAATCGCAAGGGCTGAGCTCGTGGCTGCTGGGAGTATGGTTTCTCGCGGTCGCCCCATCCGTCTCCGCCAGCGAATATGTCTTCGATGCATTCGTCTGCCTTGAGCTCGCCGGGTTGTGCGGACCAGTATGCGGCGAGGGTGCGTCTGTACATGTCTTGGAGCTCGCCGGCTTCGCGGGATTTGCTCGTCAGGGAGGGCGCAGCTGTGGGCGTTAGCACGAGCTCCGTGTATAGTTCAGAGTTTCCCACCTCCATGATCCTCAAGTTCGGCCTGCTCTCCCGCCATGATACCAGCGATGCCACTGAAGACCTGCGCCGTCTTCAAGGCTGGCGCAACAAAGTTCTTGTCGCCTTCCGTCTGCTTCATGTAGATTCCGACCTTGAGCGTGCTGTTGATCTTGCTGTCTTGCATAAGGTACCTCCTCGTGACGCCCGGTTCCTCGCCCGCGATGGTCGCCATCTCGCTCTGCTCCACGTACTCGGCCAGGTTGAGCTTGACAGTTCCTAACGTGATGCGCTCGCCTCTTCCTGAGCCTCGGCCGTATTCTTGCACAACCTCCAACTCGACATAACACTCCTGCAGCATGCCATTCTTGTCGACGGTGAGACGGACGGGGAGGGTGATGTCGTAGTTGTAGGCGACTTTATGGTCTTTGACTTGGCAGCTGTCTGTGCGACCGCGGTGCTCGGCGGCCGTCGAGTGGGAGAGGTGCCATTTTATGAATGAGGTGCCAGAAACGAGTGGTACGTTGTTGAGGTCGATTATCTGCTGTCGTCAGAGTGTGGTCGTATGCCTGTGTATGGATAGCTCACTCGTAGGTGTAGATCAAATTTTGGCTGCGCAAATGTCAGCCCGTGTAACTTTGAGGTGCTGGCTCAGTCTTACTCGTCGGTTCTTGGGTACTGTGATTGTGAGTGTCTGAGTCGCGAATGCGACGGTGCGGCGCACGGCCATTGCTCACCAAACGCTTGCATGTTGAGAAGAGAAGAGGAGGAACAAGGCGATACGGGGAGGTGAAGGAGTCTGGGTCTCACTCGCGCTGAGCGTGTGACAGGGTTCTTTGTGACTGAGTAGCAGGAGCGATGCTCTGCGACTGCGAAGGTAACAATGGACCCTGACGTGCCTGGCTCCCCGGATGCTCCGAGCCCCAACCGCGCCCTCGCTCCTTCACCCACCACCTCGCTTCACTGCCATGGCTGCAGACGCCGACGCAGATGCCATCGCAGACTGCGTGCTCCGGGCCTTTGCTCAGCTACCTGGAAAGCGGAAGCCGAGACCCCGCCACGATGGCGCAAGGGAATGGGTACCCCTCGCCGGAATTGTCTTATCTAAAGGTAATCGCTCACTTGCTTCCGGAAGGAGCTATGCTTGCTTATGCTCATGACCTAGTCAAGGTGGCGCTCTATCATGCGTATCGTTAGGGTGAGCCATTTCCATCAGCCGACCTCCGAAGACTGTCTCTTCAACGGGTATCGTGTAGTCCAGTGATTTACCGGGTTTGACACCACGCATACACTTAAGACAGCAGGGGCAAAACGCCCCACTGAGGAAGAGGAGCTTCTAGATTGCTCTGAACTTAGCATGCTCGAACATACTACGATACGACCTGTGAATAAGTCATGACACCAGCTGAACCTCTCTTAGAACTGGCATGAAATGTCTCCCCTCCAACAAATTACCCCTCGCACACGGCAACATCCTGCACGACTGGCACGCCGAAGTCATAGCGCTCCGAGCCTTCAACCGCTACCTTCTAGATGAATGCATTCTCATCTCGACGCCGCCTTATCCAGCATCCGACTTCCTTCGGCGGCTGTCGCCTGATGAACATCCCGAAAGTCTACGCCAGCCATTCACCATCCGAGAAGATGTGTCCATTCACATGTATTGCTCTGAAGCTCCCTGTGGAGATGCCAGTATGGAGCTCACCATGGCTGCTCAGGAAGATGCAACGCCGTGGACTAGTGCACCACCAACTCTATCTACCGCATCTGATGCAGTTGACCAAGTAGAGACTTTGGCTCTTCGAGGTCGGTCGAACTTCTCTCTTCTAGGCATTGTCCGCGCAAAGCCTTCGCGACCGGATGCCCCGCCTACGCTGAGCAAATCTTGCACCGACAAATTGGCAGTCAAACAAGCCACCTCCTTGCTGTCATCTACATCATCTCTACTAATCAGTCCTCGGAATGCTTACTTGGAGACTTTGGTTCTACCAGACTCCCAATACGTACCACAAGCATGCGAGCGGGCCTTTTCCTCCTCAGGTCGACTCAAGAGTCTCGACCCAAAGCATACCACAAAGTGGAAAGGCGGCTATCGTTTCCAACCGTTCAATATCCTTCCAACAACCCGCGAGTTCACGTGGTCGCGCCGCGCATTATCTGCTACCGAAAAAGCCGTGCCGAGTAATCTCTCCGCTGTGTGGACGCCAGGCTGGCAGGAGACTTTGATCGGCGGTGTGCTGCAGGGTCGGAAACAATTAGACCCCCGGGGAGCAAGTAAAATATGTCGGAAGGGACTATGGATGGAAGCTATTCGTTTAGCAGGATTATTGGGTGGAGCGGTGGCGGCTAGTGAGGCGCTTCGCATGAAGACGTATGCGGACCTGAAAAACTCTGAAGGGCTGGAAGACAGAATCAAAGTCAAAGATGACATACGCAAAACACTGAAGGGATGGGTAAGAAATACTGGTGACGACCACTTCTCCCTAGAAGCCTCTGCATCAGCATCCTAGATTCATATCTTGATATTGAACACACTTCAAATATCTCTGATACCATCTTTGCTCTCACGAAAAGTACCCCACGCACCAGTCCTCCCTCCCCACCTATCACTCACTACCTCCAGCACGCTCACCATCTCAACACCTCGCTTCGTCCCTTTCCCTCCAGAATCACTGTAGTACACTTTCGCATCCATCTTCCGTCTCGGTAGCCGACTCACCAACACCTCCATATCCATGTATCGTCCTAGTAAATGCACCAAATTCGGTACAACATCGTTACTCGCGAAGATGGAAGGTGGAAGTGGGGGCTCTCGCCGCTGTTGCGGAGGTAGAGGGCCTAGCTCATGTTGTGGTGCAGGGCGTTTTGGTGAGGAAGCGCGTGGAGGGAGAGCTGGGTTTATGAGGAGAGGGTGGAGTGCGTGGGCTTTTGTGAGGTTTGAGAGCGTTGTGAGGAACGTGGCTGCTACTGCGTTTGCTGGGGCTGGTCAGTCAATGTTGGAGCTGGGGTCTAATGGTAGATACCTTGTATATAGTCTTTCTTTAACAAAGGGTTGAGGACTTGAGCCAGGTTGTCGATCAGAACGATCTTCATGGGTCCCGGTATAATCTCTGCATTTGTGTCTTCTGATGCTTCGATTCGCGTTGGTTCTGGGTTCTGTACAGGCTGCGCTGCTCTGGTGCCGGTAACATCTGAATCGAATAACATCTCCTCGTCGTCTTCTTCGTCTTCGCTGTCCGCGACACAAGTCCGCTTCACTGGCGCCTTCTCGACGGGCGGCTCCTCCTTCGCAGCCTCATTCATGGGTAATTCTGTCTTCTTCTCTTCACTATTTGAAGCACGTTCAACATCCTTCTTCTTTTCGATCTCATCCCGGATCTCACCAATGGCCTCTCTCACACCCACGAAATCGAAAACACGCATAATCTTGACACGATCAAGTACCTTTGCTGCTAGATCCTCAGTCGGAGCTTCAGGCCCCTGATTTAGTGAGGAACGCAAGGACGTTTGGACATCTGGTCGTCGTGACAGTTGAGCGACGATCATGGTGTAAAGTCGCAACACATCGAAGTTGCCAGTAGTATCAACAACAGCAGCCGTCGAATTTTTGTATTGAAGAAGAGAGCTCGCGAGTAGCGTGCAGCAGATCTAGAAATGTTAACCTATAGCCCTTTCATTTTCGAACTTCTTCGCATATGCTGTTGCTTGACATCCACAATTGGGATACTCACCTCACTTCCACCCGCCCCAGCTTCTCCACTGACTCCTACAACTCTACCGCTCTGTATCCCACCGCCGAAAGCATCGTCCAAGCTCTTGACTCCAGTTTGCAGTATGTTCCCTCCAACGCTATTTTGATGCTGAAGATTGATATTGCACACGCTCTCGACCAGCTCATCAAGGTCTTGGTCGCCGATCAATTGGGATGCGAGCAACGGCTCTGCGGGTCTTACTGATATACTCAACCCACCAAGAGCTAGTTGAGCGGCAGCCATATCGCTATTTGGTGTACGATGGTGAGGCACGGAACCGTGAGTGTAATGGTGCAGGCTTGTCGGAACCGCATTCGGAAAGAGAAGCGCTAGCGCGAGATGGATTAGAGGAAGGTGCAACCTTTGTTGAAAGCGTGCAATTCTACTGTTCATCAACTTGGAGACATGTTGACAGACAACGAAAACAATGTGGCTACCAGAATCACGTGCATATAGGAATCTCTTCGACATTGCCTAGTACTAGACCCATCACTGTCTCGTCGCGCCAGGCCTTGATCAAAGAAGAGCAGCACCTGCACTTCCATGCTTCTTCACACACCAAACAACTAAGTGATGCATTCACGTCATGTACTAGCTCTACAAAATCCTGAACCTATGTATACACTACATGCTCAACCCAATCCTGGGGCATCAATCAACGCCTATCAGCCCGCAGATACGTATCGCAGCTAACCTCTTCCACAGCAACGTACCACCCAATCGACTAGCCGACACTAGGCAATATCTCGCCGAAACGTGGCACCGGAGATCTTACTGGAGAAATACGGTAGTGGCTTGCGATCCAAACTTCCGCGCCGCCGATCTTAGTGCTGGCGTCGTGGCGTGCGGCTGAGAGCATTGATATCGGCGATAAATCCTCAGGTCATGTGCCAGGGGCAACGCAGCTGCGGCGTCGAGGTCCGCTCCTCAAGGATTGGGCAGTAAGCTCGAGTGGGGGTTTCTTGGGCGACAGGAACGCGTCAAGGACGATCCTAGCGGGTGCCAGGAACAGTCGGATGCCCCTGAACATCGAGCGGGTCTAGATGGCGATCAACGGAGGCAAATAAACGGCATCACATGTGTAGAGTTCCAATCGTATGGTATCTTGATGTTTGCAAATTTTCATTCCTAGCTACAGATTCTACGCCTCGCATCCCCAAAGTATCGCAAACTTGATGTGTTATAAGAGCTATGCAAGTAGCCCAATTTCTGCGCATTGAAAGGAAAAAGTGACTCGATTGAAAAAATTGAAGCAGGCGGTTTGAAGAAGGGAGAGCCTTCTCTATCTTGTTGAAGCGTGCCTGAGTTCTGTTACACATGAGTGGTATCCAGACCTCGTGCTTTCAAGCCCCAACGACTCCAGCGCTAGACGGAAGGAAAGTGTATGACCCGAAGGGAGGTGTGTGACGATAGGAGAAATAAGCTGGCTGCAGTCGTCGCCGTGGGCGATATACATCGTGTCTTTTGTGTCCTTCGAGATGGACCTGAGCCGCTCAGAGGAAAGGTGAGTGAAGTGGTCGAATCGTTTCAACCATGCCTGGGAACACTCAAGCGGGACGTCGACGTCCGCCCTTGAGAGACTTGACGCGGTTGAGGAACCCACCGCTGGGCTTGGCCTCGCCTGTGGGAGATCCTACGCTGTCGGTGGTGATGGATCGCTGCAACGCAGCGCCCCGCGGTGGTGAAGCTCCGCCCTCGTTGGTCTTGATGGCTGCGCCCTTGGCGTCGTATGCCTTATCGTAGTCGTCGCTGAAAAAAGGGTTCTGCTCTGCGGCCTTCGTCTGCGAGATGGCTCCGGCGCTGTAAGGGCCGCTTGGGCTGGTGGCAGCTCCGTAGCGTGCCTCGGGCGAAGTGATGCGTGGGCCGTCACCGTAACGACGGGGCTGAGAGATACCGCGGAATCGCTGGGCGATGGACTTCTTGCGACCGAGACCGCCATCAGCTAGTTGCTTCTGCCTCTGAGCATCGGACTCTTCTTGGATCGCTTTGCGGGAAGCCGGGGCGCCCTCGAGGAAGGTAGATGTTCCAAGACCATGGGTCTGCTCGCCGTGTACAATGTCTTCTCGGCCCTTTGCGCTGAACTCTGCGGCCACTGGGGCTGGCTTCTTCCATTCGGTCTCGGCACCGGCAAAGTCGGTGAAGCCCTCGGCACCCCTGCCATGGATCCTGTCCAGATCGATCTTTGTGTTCAGAGGTCCAGAACCACCCAGAGTGTTGTTGGCTGAACCAACGGGGAAAGCATGCATGGGTGCGCGCTGGTCCTTCTTACGGTTGCGATGGGGTTGCACAGCGTCGTACGGTCCGTCGTGGTGGATCATGCTAGGTCCGTAGATGCCAGTCACATCGAGTTTGTCAATGAGGTCAAGACCCTGCGGCCTGCGGACCTTCTTGCCGCCAGATTTGCTGTCCTTGCCGTCTCTAGCACGCTCTTCGCGCTCCTTGCGGCGCTCCCTGCGCCTGCGCTCTTCACGCGGGTCGAGCGAGCCTCGGTCGATAATGGAGGATTCGGAGTTGCGTCGGGGACGGCGGTTCTCGCGGCGTTCAGGGCTGTTGAGCTGGGGAGGCCGAGACGAGCTGGGAGGTCCACGTGGTCGAGAGCCTCCGCGGGAAGCTTCTCGCATGCGCTGTCTCTCTTCTTCAGAGCGCGAGGGGCGGTGGCCTGCACGGGGATCGGTGCCGCTGCGAGCAGGGGCAGGTCGTGGCGGGGGAGCTCGCTTCTTATCGGTGTCGTCGATGGTGAGGTTGGCCTGGGTGAGGGCAGGGTAGTCAGCAAAATGCATCACAAAGCGCCTGAAGCGGTCCATGTTGATGGCTCAATGGCGGTGGTGTAGCTAGAGACTGCACCGCGTTTTACTACAGCGTGCAGCGTGCGCGGCTTGCACGACGTGACGGCGCTGGCAGCCGTCACGGCACGGGCGATTGGCCTGCAAGGGGGAGGAACGTACAAAGAGCTCTTCGGCGGCAAAGCCAAAGTTTGATTTCTTGGGAGAGTCCTTCATGGTGGCCGACATGTCAACGAGGTCTCTGGATGCCTCCTTGTTAAACTCGGCCTCGAAGGTAGATATAAAGGGATTGCGCGACATTGGTCTGCTGCCCGAGCTCGAGCGGTTGGCACTGGCGGGCGAGGGGAAACCGGGAGAGGCAGCGCGGCGGAAGGGGTTGTTGGAGGAGAGGTTGAGCTGTAGGCCTGGCGAGGGTCGCCTTTCTGTAGATAAGCAATATGATCAGCGGCGCGTCCTATTTCGTCACAGCCCAAGTCTCGGTGAAACAGGCAAATTCAGGAGCAGCCTTACCTGGCATTGACGGCTCTGCAAACATGATGCCGTCTGCTGCTCACAACCCTGCTGGGCGGCCCAATCAAACACTGGCGCCGCGGGAGACGACAGGCGTGCTTTGTGCAACTGCTGGCTGGTGACGCACGGCGGGCAATCCTGTTCCTGCGCGCCTCGCCTACGGCAGAAGCAGCAATAGGGGCGCGGTTTTTGCTAAGACTGGCGGTACCGATGCTGCTGTGTTTCGCGCTGAGGATAGACGGGCCCCGTTGGCGGGCGGGCGACAGGCGGGCGGGGCGCGTGTTTGATGGGCTGGTGTTTGAGGCCCGTTAGTAGTCTATGCAACGCCTATGGAATACAGGACAGCAATGCGCGGGGGCTGGGCGTGGGTGGAGTGGTGAGAGGTGAGAGTAAAGCAAAAGCAGGTGATGGCAATGGCAATGGCAGTGATTAATGCACAGGAGGCAGGAGGCGGGAGCAGAGGGAGTAGTAGGCCGTCGAGAGCAAGCGCGGCCTAGCTAGGCTTTTAGAGGGCGCTGGGCTGGGCCTCGTGTTTACCGCAACCGCAAAACCGTGGGTGCGTGGTTCCGTGGCGCCGTCTGTCTGTGATTCGAGCGCCCGATCACGAGCTTCCCAGAACGCTCCTGGGCAGCCACTTTGGCCCGGAAAAGACTGTCTAGACGGCAACTCAGGGTGCCAATCCGCTACGCTGTGGGGTCAAGGCCCGAGCTGCACGTGCACGACAGCGCAGGGGCATTGGACCTCGATGTGCATCGCTTTTGCATTTGGCTGCGCTGGACGCCCTCTGTTTGTGTCGGCCGCCTGCAGAGTGCGTACGTAGAGTATGATACACGTCTGGTAGAGGCCGCCTCAACGAATCCCAAAACACTGTCTCTCCGTAGCCATCACCGCCCGTCACCGTCACCAACAGCAACACTCCACCGTCCATCGTCGACGACAAGCTCATCAACCCTGCCGTCCTTGCACCTGTTTGTGCAAGTGCGTGATCCTTAGCCCGCCTCATATACCCAACTGGATTAGCTGCCGACTCTGCGCAACCTGGCAATTGCGGGGAAGACCCTGAACTGCTTTTCTTCAGCCTCAGCGTGACCTGCAAGCGCCGCTCCCATCGCGACTCTGCACCGTCAGCTGTCAAACATCCGAGACTCCAGCCATGGCTCACGAGACGGCGCAACATGTCCCGGGCGTGGGAGGCTACTCGCGCTTTGAGCTCGAGCTCGAGGTCCGCAATTCCCCTATACTGCGTCGTCATTAGCCCCTGTTTGACCTTCATTAACACGCGCCTAGTTTGTCCAGTGCCTTGCCAATCCCGTCTATCTCAACTACCTGGCCCAGCAAAAGACGCTCGACAAGCCCGAATTTGTCGCATACCTCGGCTACCTGCAGTACTTCAAAGACCCAAAGTACACCAGATTCTTGCAGTATGTTCGCCGCCCCTCACACCGCCTGCTTACTGACCCCTTCGGCGCAGTCACCCCGGCCCCACGCTGCGTGCACTGGAGTTGCTGCAGCAGGAGCGCTTCCGCCAGGACATTCTAGCCCCAGGCCTCATGGACAGGCTCGTCATTGAGGGCCAGCGGAACGCTGTACCCCCAGCGAAGAAAGAGTGAACCGTGCCAAGTCAAAACATTGTCGATCATCGCAAGTTCGCTTGGTCGCTGCCAAGGTCTCCGTCGATGCCGACATTCCCAGCCCCGGAGGCAGCTGAGAACAACGAGCCAAGTTTGGTTCGATAGGCCAGAGCTCGTTCTCGTTCCTATTCTATCCCTCGTACGAATAGTCTACGCCACACGGCGTATGCGACTTCCCGCGCCGCCATTGGCATCCAGCCGAAGATGCTGCATCGTAAACTAAATCGTTCACTTATCCACATGCGATCCCGTTCTTAGCGAACGTAGCGTGCGATGCATTTAGAAAATCTAGAAACTTACCACGAACGAAGCTATTGACTGTGTTAGACGCTATCGTCCGATGCTACACTGTACCGTTATCGTATCCGTATCATAGTTTTACTGTGACGTCGTGATCTATTCTTGTTTCCTCTGGCAACCGACCAAACTCGCAGCAGACCCTGACACTGACTACAGACGTGACCTAGCAACGCGTTCGCAAGCAGCACCCTAGCTGACGTGCTTGCGACATCCCATCCGAGTTTCCCATGGTTGCAACCAACGTTGGAAGTGCCCAGGTCATGTCTCACGTGCCACGTGACGTCGTCGGCTCGAGTTGCCCCGCCGCGCGCGATTGCATCACGGCGCCGAGCTACCAACAGGGTGCTTGGGTTGCCGACACAGTACTCACACCCCTCTTTGTAATATTCCACCATGCGCTCCGTATCTGAAGCTGAGTGCGTCATGCCGGTCCTTGCCCATGGTCCCAATTCTGACATTGCATAGAAAGCACTGGCGGCAGCTCGACGAGTTCCACTCTCTGACTGACCTCAAGATCCACGTATCTGCGCACAAGGAACCCCAGATCACCGCAGGACTCCGCTCCGTCTGCTGGAAGGTGCGGTCCGATCTACCCCTCTTCCCCTCCATCGCTCACAGTACGGTCAGATATTCCTTGTCTTCAAGACGCTTGACCGCTCGTCATGGCCTACCCATCTCAGCCATGCGCGCAAGACATACGAGTCCCTGAGATCGCACTACCTCCGTGCCATACATAATCCCGACGAATTCGAGTCTTCCATAGACCCATTGAGCGAACTATCAGAGGTGTGTGCACCCACGACCGGCCGCCGCCATCGAGACATGTCGCTTATTGACAAGTACTAAGCGTTAAAAGTCACCATGGGTAGCCCTCCGCGCCGACGAAGAACTTCGTGCCGAGATATTCCAGGATATCGAACGATGTATGCCTGACAATGTGTACTTCCGCCAGCCCGCGACGCAGACCATGATGTTGGACATACTGTTCGTGTGGTGCAAGATGCATCCTGACATAGGATATCGCCAAGGCATGCACGAGATACTTGCGCCACTACTGTGGGTCGTGGAGAGAGATGCCATAGACGTGGACGGCCAGAAGACTGGCGCAATGGACCACACTCTTGCTGAGATGCTTGACTCTGGGTACATTGAGCACGACACGCACATGCTCTTCTCCATCATCATGCAGACAGCCAAGTCTTTCTACGCGCCGGCCGAGACTGGATCTATAACCAAAGACACACCAATGCTTGCGCGAAGTTCCAGGATCTTTGAGGGCAACCTACCCAAGGTGGACCCAGAACTCTACACGCATCTTGTCAAGCTTGAGATTGTGCCCCAGATTTTCCTCCTGTAAGTCACTATGCGCGCTCGAGCCAAGCTTCCCTAATATGTACCAGGCGCTGGATACGCCTTCTTTTCGGACGGGAGTTCTCACTTGACGCCGTCTTCGACGTGTGGGACGCCCTGTTCGCCATAGACTCCACGCTAGAGCTTGTCGATATGATCTCATTAGCCATGCTACTGCGCATACGGTGGGAGTTGATGGCAGCTGATACGAATGAAGCCTTTGCACTTCTTTTGCGATACCCTGAACCCGCTGCACCGCCGTACACATTCATCAAAGACGCGCTATATCTCCGTGATCACCTTACCCCACTCGGCGGGGCAGAGATTATTACACGATATGGGAAGCAAGCGCCCATTATCGAGCCTGTATCGAAACCACCTGTCCGCGAACCATCGCCATCTCCGTCATTCGTCTCGAGCCGAACGCGACAGAGCATCGGATCGCCAAGAAGCTTCGTGACACAACAGGGCGCTGGTTTCGAGGCCTTGATACAGGGTGCGGCGAAGAATGTACTGGATCGCGGATCGCAGTGGGGTGTGGGGAAGGCTCTGCGAGATGCAGTGGGTGAAGTAAGGAAGAACGTTGAGGCTTATCAGTCAGGAGCAACCTCTGGCCAGTCGACACCGCGTTCCGGAGGGAGGGAGTTCCGGAAGCCTGGCCAACTAGGCACCTCTGGCGCCAATGGACGACCAAGTCTCGAAAGGGTACACTCGGTGAACACATTCAAGAAGATGGAAGAGCTGGATCGCAGGAATAAGAGTCTCGCTAAAATGTTAGAAGTTGCCGTCGGTGACCTCTGGGAGTACCACAGAGAGCGTGACGAAGCACAAAAGGGGAGAGAAGGCGATGAGAAAGGAAAAGAAGCTATGGAGGCACTCAGCCTTGCCATCGCGAAAGTGCAATTCGTGCAAGTTTATCTTGAAGACTCTTCTATACCGCTTCCTATCGACGAAGCAACGGAACAGGCCTCTACTGCACAGGCTGCGATCAGCTTATCTTCTCCGCCTCCTCAATCCCCGGTGTCGCCGAAACAAGCTACTGTCGTACCACCCATCTCTTTGAGCACGACGTCTCCGTCGAATACCCCGTCCACAACAGCTTCTAAGAACCCTTCTCCTGTCGTTTCCCGTCCGACCTCACCACCCGCGCGTACATTATCACCTCCGTCCAAGCTTGCTTCGACCCTCTCTCCACCGTCGCGGCCACATCTTACATCCTCCAATTTCTCTTGGATGCTTGGTGAAGATTCAGCGTCTTCCAACTTTGCTTCTGGTACCGCCCACTCCACCTTCTCATCTGACGAGAAGAGACGTGTGAAGGGCAAAGGCTTCTTATTCGGAGACGATACGGATGATGAGGGTAGCATCAAGGACGGGAAGAAAGGGAACTCTAACAGCAAAGGTGGAACGAAGAACAGCAAGAACGCCAAAGGGAAGCATGCTGCTGAGAGCGAAGTAGAAGAGGAAGTGATCGATCTTGCCAACATGGGGAAAAGAGGGGTGATCTGAACATCGACAAAGGTCTCAGTCTGTCTACTACACCCGTGTAGGTAGACCTGAAGGCTGTGTAAGAGCTTCAGTCACCACTGATCTTGCTGGCTGCTTACGTTGGATCCTCATAGTACGGCTATCCCATCACTGCAGATCTCCGGTGAACCGAAGACTGAACTCAGCATCCGCGTCGGGATAAGAGCTCTGTTACAAAACCAACAACAGCGCAACGGCATTCCTCTGCTTCATGACC